CGACCCCCTTATCATTTCCCTCTGCTCCAGCTGTGACGAAAATACCTTCAGGTATTACCAAAGGTCCCCTGGGAGACAAAATCATCCCTGGTTCTGAAAGAACCAGTTTGCTCTTCTACATCAGGCCCAACGAATTGCCAAAAAAAAAAAAAAAAAGGACCACATAGACTTTGCCAGCCCCATAAATACAGAGAGAAACGCAGCAAGAGGTAGCTTGCAATTACCAACCACCATCTGCCCTCAACCAGTAAGACTTAGGAAGAAGTGCCATGCCATGAAATTAAGTTAGAAGCTAATGCAGGGGATCAGACCCAGCTCTCTGGCACAGGTGCTCTTTCTGGGCCTCTCTGTGGGTTATCTCTTGTCTATTGCCCCTGAGTCAGAACCCTACCACCAGTCCACAGCTGAATGTGGTTAAAGAGTTATCCTCTAAATCAGAAGTTGGCAAATATCTTCTGTCAAGGACCAGATGGTAATTAATTTAGGCTTTGTGGGCTATAAGGCCTGTTGAAACTGCTCAACTCTGATGAAAAAGCACAAGAGCAACCATCAATGATGTGAATGAAGGAATGTGGCTCTGTTTCGATAAAACTTTACTGACAAAAGCAGATGGTGGGCCAGACTAATGTTTGTATGATTACATGGTTAATCAATATAAAATAACAAGTTAAAAAAGACAAAACCTCCCCTGCCTTCATGACGCTTACCATCTGGGAGGAAAAAAAAATAAGAGTTCAGCCTTTAAGTCAGGTTGCTACGTCATATGGACAAAAACACCTAAAGGGGAAGATGCACCACGTGGGCAAAGATGGAGACAATGAGCCCCCTTTGTTGCCACAAACAGAAAGTACTGCATCTCCAAGATGAAATCAATTTCAACTGCCCCTCAAACTCTGCTTCAGCCCAATTCCAGGTGTTTTCAGAACCGAGCTGAAGGCCAGGTCAAGGCTTCAACTGACAGACAGGCACGCATGGGCCGCAGGGCCCTGGGGTTGGACTGACCTGCGGGTAGAAGGCAGATGCTGCTGTGCGCGGGCTGCGGACAAACTCCATAAAGAAGGCCCCGTCCTGAGGTCAGAGCGGCGGGAAGCGGCAGCAGGCGCGAGGGGGCGGAGGATGGCACGCGGCCCAGTGGCGAACCATTGCAGGAGGAAGGGACGAAAGAAAAAAACAAAAACAAGGAGGGAAGGAGAGAAAGACGGGCACATGAGGGGAAAGGGGGGGGGGGGGGGGGGAGAGACCCATCCAAGATAATCTCCCTCAACCCTCTTCTTGAGGCCTCTTGAACCTGAGAAGGGGGGGGGGGGAGAGAGAGAGACCCATCCACCCAGGAGGAAGATATCCAAATGCAAAGCATTAGCAGAAACCCACACCTTCCCAGGCAGAGCATCCCAGCCATGTAGGCACAGCACCTGGAGGAAGGTGTGTCCAAGCGCCTCAGCTCTCATCAGAGCCAAGCTTGGATGCCTGCGCCCCCACATAGCTCTGAACGTCCTTCAGACCCATGCCGAGGGGACAGAAAGGCCGCAGGGCAGCTTGTGTGTGTGTGGGGGGGGTGCACAGGGCAGGAGAGGGGGCAGTGTCCTGGCCTGGTGGGGAGACTCCCAGGCTTCTGGAAGATACATGGACACCTAAATCTTGCTGCTAAACATGGCAGTAGGTGGGAGAAGAGGATTCAATGCAGGAAAAGTTCTTGCTAAATTTTCCAAGCGAACCAGGGAGACAGAAGCAGCAGTACCTTCTCCTCTGCTGGTTGCGTAACAAAACCACGAAGCCGCTGAGACATTTACAGTGTCAGACACGTATGTGCTCACCAGGAGGGGCCCCTGGAGCGGCTTCCCCGCCATCCTTGCAGGGTTCGGGTTGCCGTGGACTTGAAACATAAACGGCAGAGAGAACTTTTCCAATCACACCTCCCTCCCTCCTTCCTTCTTAAGGTCAAGACATATCCTCTTGTCCCTTCAAAATCTTTGCACTTTTTATGTCATCACTGAAATTTGGAAATAGCAGTCCGTATCCCTGAAGGTCTCTGCTTTCCTACCACTTCTCTTTAATTCTAGAAGTAGAACCACTGAAGTATTTCACTGTCTGTTTTACCAGGACTGCTCTCCTGGCCCATCAGTCCGGACAAGCTCCAGTAACGAGCCGTGGAAATGCACACATGGGTACCCTCCACACATCCTAACATGTAGGATGCTGCCTGGAGACAGTGTTGGGCCATCTCCTGATCCCTCTGCCTCCCGCAGACCACTTGGAAATCTATACCCGGGCAGACCCATGGCCACCTGTGTGGACTTCACTGTCCAGCCAGAAGATGAGGGGAGTGCTGTGGACAACAGTCTCCTATTTGGTCACCAGCATATGTTAAGCCTAATCCTTGTGGTTCTGTAATCTCTCACTTCTCAGTACAGTCCCCACAGTTTCTAATCCTCAAAGAGGACAGCCAGCGGACCGCACACAGGCCTTTGTGTGTTTCCATGCTCTATTTGCACCCCTCCTCTGCCAGAACACAGATGGAGGTGCTGATGTGAGGCACCTGTGAGGACAGGTGAAAAGACTTCCTTCACTGACAGGTCATTCCTGACGCACAGACTGCACTGGGGACTGGGCCGAGAGCCACTGTCTCAGAGCTGGGCTTGCAGAACAGCCTACAGAAAAATGTGGTCCCCTGGTTGTTCCAGCCCATGAACTGAGAACTTTTCAAATTTTAAATGGTGGAGGAGGAGTCCACACAACCACCTGGATCCTGCCTCTCAGCCCACAAAGTCTAAAATATTTATTAAGGTTTCCATCTCAGGTCTATGAACTCCCCAAGCTGCTTGCTGCCTCAGCTGCTACTTTTCCCAGGTTTTAACCCCTCCATCCTAGTCATCTAATTCTAGGGACTTATCCTGAAGAAATAATCGGAGATGTGATCAAGTAATTATGTGCAAGGCTGTTTGCAGCATTATTTGTAATTGTGATACACTGCAGAATAATTATAAAAACCTTACGGAATAGTTACCAAAAACTATTTTTAAAAATCAGAAACCAAGATACATATTTTTGTAAACAAATGAAGGTCTATCCACACGATGAAATATTATATAGTTATTTTTTTTTAAATCATGATTTGGAGAAATAATGAGACAGGGAAATGTTCATGATGTGGGAGAAAAATAAATAGGCAGATGGATATATAAGTTAACCACAATGTTGAAAAATAAAATACATCTATTGGATCTGTTTCATCTCTGAGTGAGAGAAACCAGATAAGGGAGTGTGCAGCCACATCAGAACGATCTCAGGCTCTGAGCTTCTGGGGAGAAGGAGCTGACAGAGGCGTATCTCTCGGTCTTCGAAGGCAGGACCAGCCTGCCCTGTGGAGTTCTCAGCCCCTCTACTGTACTCGCCAATTCGTGCAGAGGCCGAAGTCTCAGGTCTCAGTTTCTGTCTCCCAGCACAACCATCTGACTACTTCTCAGCAGTCTATGCAAGCTGAAGGGAATTTCGTTCACCAAAGAGTGAGCTCTCCTGGAATCTGCTTCAGTTGTTTTCTATCCTCCCCCCGCCCCCCCACCCCCGTCCCTACCGCCCCCCTCACCAGGGAGGGCTGAAGATGGAGCTGAAGGGGAACCAGAGGCCAGTGTCACAGCTCAAGCCAAACCTTCAGTCTTGACTGACCCAGTTAACCTGATTTTACACCTGCTTTCATCAGGTACTGCTTCCTTACAAGTCCCTCCATCAACACAGCGATGCTACAAAGGGCTCAGCAACTCCTCAGCACACTTGGTTCTGGCTCCCAGGGCCCTGTGCTACCATCCACGTCGAGGCCCTGAGCGCACATGCTGACCCCCTGCCCATCCGAGGGGCTCCTTTACCTTTCTCGGGCTGTCCACGTAGGTGGGAGTCATGGAGACACCGCTGCTCTCGGCCGGCGGGGCGGAGCTCTTGACCCCATGTGCCGCTGTCTGCTGCTCTCCCAGGCACCTGAGAGGAGGAAAAGCCCAGGGCAGTTCTGCTCAGAGCCAGGGGAAGGACCAGCATCGGCCACGAGGCAAAGGCTGCTTTGTGGCCATCATCTCTGAAACACGCTTTTCCCTTTGTTTCTTCTCAGACCCTGTGTTGTGCCCTTAATTTCATTCTTTGTCCTGAATGATTGCCAGCTGCCACCGAAAATCAGAAAATAGCTCAATTTTAAAAGCATCTTGGTGGTCCAGTGGTTAAGATGCAGAGGATGTGGGTTCAATCCCCTCATGGAAGAACTAAGATCTTGCATGTCACACAGTGCAGCCAAAAATAAACAAGTAAATAAAAGTATCTTGGCACAGCTTAGGGTTTACATATTCCTTTGAAAAGGCAAGTGACATGGTTTGAGTCACTCCATCTGTGAACACCATGCTTTCAACTTTCTGGGACAGAGCTTTTCCTGTTTTTATTAAATAGACCATCAGAAGCACACTCTGAAAATTAGGGCTGTGTTACCATTCAGCACAACTAAATAGGGTGGAATGTGTCAACTCTTTAGATATTTGGAAGATTTGTTAATCTTGCAAATGCACACACTCAATCCCTCCCCACCCCCTAAAAAAAGCCACGCACATAACAGGCATTATCTCAGACACAAGACCACTGTGGTTTTCTTATGACATCTCCTCCCATCTTGGTTCTGGAGTCCATAAACACCTAATTTCACATACATTTTTCTAATTTCTTTTCTGTACTAAAATAAACCATGAACCATTGTGACTTAGGGCTTCCCAGTTGGCTCAGTGGTAAAGAATCCACCTGCCAATGTGGGAGACCTGGGTTCGATCCCTGGGTTGGGAAGATTCCCTGGAGAAGAGAATGACTTCTACTCCAGTATTCTAGGCTGGAGAATCCCATGGACAGAGGAGCCTGGCCCATTCAGTTGAGTTCAGTTCAGTTGCTCAGTCGTGTCCCACTCTTTGCAACCCCATGGACTGCAGCACGCCAGGCCTCCCTGTCCATTAGGAGTTTACTCAAACTCATGTCCATTGAGTCGGTGATGGGTCAGTCTACGGGGTCACAAAAAGAATCAAACATGACTTAACGACTAAACAATAACAAACTGTAACTCAAATGAGCCCCCAAATTCTTTTTGGTTTTTATCATGGAAAATTTTCAAACCCATATGAAAATACAGGATCATGTAATCGAACCCATGATCTACCTGGACCCCAGGATCATTTATGATGGAGCCAATCTTGTCCCATCTATACCTACCCACCTCGATTATTTGGAAGCAAAACTCACACATGCTATTATTTCATCTATAAATACTTCAGTGTATACTGCATCTCTAGAAGAAAATAAAAGAATAACAATCCCATCAACACACTTAAATTTTTAAAAATTTTCTAGTATCAAATATTTCTCTAATTGTCTCCAAAAAAACTTTTTACAGTGTGCTTGCTGGATGCAGTTAAGGTCCCTACGCTGCAGTCAGTCATGTCTCTCGAGCATCCTTTGAGCTGGAAGCTTTATCTGTGGGAGAAAAGAGCTCACTGGTCCTGTAAATTTACCATCTGGATGTGCTCATCACATCCGTTCATTGTTTACCCTGCCCCTCTGTGCGCAGCACTTTCTGAGAACTAGAAATTGTATCTAGAGGTTTGAGCACATTTAGGCTTGATGGGCAGGACCTTCTCCTCAAGCATGCTGTGTGCTTCTACCTGGAGGCTTCGGCGTCTGGTGATGTGAGCAGTCACAGGTGACCTCTGCTAGATCCGTAAGCGAAGAGGAGCCCACACGTGGTTTGAGCGCTCCCTCTGGACCCATTAGCTTGAATACTGGAGAGACAGACACCTCCCCACACCAATCGCTTGGCTACTCTGAGGGGTGATTCATATATGAACAGCGGACTAAAAGTTTGACTCCGCCTGAGCCCCGTACATTGTGCCGTCTCTGCATCCCATCACGGCATGTTCCTCTGGGCCTCGTCCACAAACACACACTGGGAAGTCCGCCTGTGCTTCCTGGGAGCCGTGGCGGTGTTCCCTGGCTGTGCCCCAGGGCTCCCTCATCTGATGCATGTGACAACCCTCACGTCCTGAGCTGCTGTCTATGTGCTGACCTGTGGACCAGGAGTTGGGGATTTAGAGACACCTAGGACCTATCCTTGCCCTTGGAGGCTCCACAGCTCAGGGGAGGGGATGCCACCAAAAAACACTGCTATCCTGTGCACGCCCACACCTGAGACACGTATGAGGCACACTGCCTTCTTCCCAGAGGCCATGACGACTGCCAGGTGGGCTCGCTCCCTGCTCTGACTCCCTGATGTCAGTGTATCTCCACCAAACAGAAGCCACAGAGCCCACACTGCCCACGGCCCTTCTCCCATGGCCCCTGCCTCCCACGAGAGCCTGACGCCACGTGAGCGCCTCCAGGCAAAGACTCAGGGGAACCGGAGGAAACCGACACACGTGATAAGATGGCAGGACTACAGGTGGAACTTCTAAACCTCTTCTTCATATTGCTGCAACACAGTTTTCCATAATAAAACTGGATCTGCTTGGTGTAGCAAAAAATAAAGAAAAGCACAAGGTAAAAAATGCCACATGAGCAAACATTACATAAAGGCCTGGCTCCCTCTGCTCAGCCTCCAGCTCTGAGAAGAGGCACCACGTCCCCCAGGAGCGCCCATCTCGGGGAGAATACATCTCAGGGCACCCTGTCCTGCCTCCTGCTATGGGGTCAGCTGAGCTCCTCACACACATTAGGGGACACTGTCACCCCAAGACATCCCTCCTCTTTCCATCTGAGCAGAAAGAGGCTCCTTGGAGCGCTCGGAACAATGACTCACTGACACATTAAAATAAGATTCCCCCGCCCCCAGCTTCACACCCCTCCCAGCAACATATGTTCCTTGTTCTTTTTTTCCAGCGGGAAAGGTCTGTGATTAGCTAAGGGACAATCTGCAGGCAGAGTTCTGGGGTCTTTCCTGGGTCAGATTTTCTGGAGGCCCCAGCAGCCTCAATCACAGGCTTGACCTATCCCAGCTTTGCCTGTCATCTGCCTGCCCCGCCCTCCCTCCTCCACGTCACCCTGGCCACTCTCTTCCCTCCCCGCTGCATCCCTTCCTCTCTACCCCATCCTCGCCTCCAGCCTCTTCAGCCTCTTGCCTGGACCAGTGAGGCCTCTGCCTCCTGAGCCTGTCCACCAGGACTTCCCATATGCAGGACCAATCTCTGCAAACACCACTTCTGCCAAAGATGCTGAATGAATATTTCATGATATTAAGGAACTGCTGTGACTTCTTAGGTGAATTACGATATTACAGCTTGAAGAGTACTTATCTTTCAGAGATGCACACTGAAATCTTATAGAGGAAGAGATGAGATGTCTGGGGTTTTATAAGAAATAAAAGGAAGAGAAGCAACTGGGATATAAATCAAACAAGATTGGCCCTGAGTTAATAATCATTGAAGCTGGGTGATGGGTAAACGGGGATTTATTATGCGAATCTACTTTTTTTAATGTTTGAAATTTTACATTAAAATAAACTTTTAAATGGCTGCTCTTGCTATGGGAACATGTAGGAACAGCTTCGAGTCTGACTTCCCACGCTGTCTTTCCAATTGCATCTCCCGTTGGGCCACAAGCTCTCTCACATTACCTTCTGAAAGCTCAACATCTGTGGGCTCCTGCAGGCATGGCTCGGAACCCCCCAGACCACCAGACAGACAGCGGGGCGCACAGAGGGGACTTGATCTGGCTGGAAGGGTGGAGGGGGCGGGGTTAAGGTCAGGGTTTGTGGCAATGTTTTCTCCTTTTCCCCAAGTCCCACCTCCCCCGGTATAAATGCATCCCTTCCTACAAAGACATCTTAAATCCCACCTCCCAAAGCAAGATGTGATCCCTCTGGGATCCTGAGAGCTACAGCACCTGCTGTTCATGAAGGGACCACACACTCTAATGCCCAGAGAAGCTGGTCAGGTGGCGGACTGAGGGACCAAGTCAGGTCCAAGCAGCGGATGCGCTGGCTCCACATTAAACCAGGGCTCAGGCCCACCTAACGTGCCAGCCCATACGCCGTGGCCAGGCTCAAATGGGGACCCAGCGCTATGAGTCTCCACTAGCCCAAGCAAAGCAAGTATTACATACTGTATGTAATATAACTTTGTATGACATTATCTATATTTTTCATATAGCCACACATCATGTATGTATATGTTATCTATTTTTTCATATAGGAATTCACTAAGAAATTAAGATTTTTTTTATTTACTATTTACTTATTTATTTTGGCTGTGCAGCACGTGGGCTCTTAGTTTCCCAATCAGGGACTGTATCTGTGCTGCTTGCAGTGGAAGCACACAGTTTTAACCACTGGACCACCAGGCCCCAGAGGTCAAGATTTTTATACGAACTCTTCAAACAAAAAAAAATTGACTCAAATATTCTAAAAATATTCTGTGTTTTTTGGGTAGAGAAACTACTCTTTTATGGTGGCTATGTGTCATTATAAGTTTATCTGCACCCACGGACAGAGAAGCCTGGTGGGCTACAGTCCACGGGATTGCAAAGAGTCAGACACAAATCATGACTAAACCACCACCACACCCACAGAGTGTGCAATACCAAGAGTGAAGCTTGATGTAAATAAAGCACTTTGGGTGTTTTATGCACTTTGGGTCCATCAATTGTACCAAACGGGCCTCTCAGTGAGGGACATGGATAATGTGTGGGGAAGGGTGCATATGGGAACTCTCTGTACCTTCCACTCAATTTTGCCTTGAACCTAAAACTGAATTAAAAATAGAAAAGTATTAAAAATAAAGACAAAAAATCAACCCACTAACAAAAAAAAACAAAAACAAAAAACCACTTCGTGGACCAAACCAATTGTACCTGTATTTCAAATCAACCTCCAGACTACAAGTTTATAAATTCTGGCCTATTTCATGACATTCGACACTTACCACGTATTGACCTTTCTTTTCACCTGCCTGTCTTTTGTCAATTACTGGCTACTTGGCAGACAGAAGCCACATTTCACCACACTCGGGCCTGTGGGGTGCAGAGGTGTGTCCTTCCACCAGGCACTTACTTCTGACTAGCCTCCATCTCCAGCAGGGCAGACAGAGCTGAGGTTCCCTTCTTCCCAACCGGGGGGCCGGCCGACTCAAGGGAGTGTGTGGGGATGGGCCCGGCCATCTGCAAGCCTTTCATGGCGGCCCCTTTCTAGAGCAGAGAGAAGGAAACAGGCCATCAGATGCCACAGTGTCCGCTGTGTCTCAGGTTCTGGGAACCCATCAGTACAGCCGGGGAGGGTGAGGTCCAGGAGCCGGAAATGCCAGGGAACAGCTCTTTACTCAAACCAAAAGTCCCAAATAGCTGTCAGACTCAAAACAAACTGCCTCCTTGAGGCGGTTTAGGTACATCATCTAATTTTACTCTCATCACAGCTTGAGGAAGTAAATAATGTTACATCTACTTTATGGAAAAAGAAACTAAGTCTCAGAAAAGTGAAGTAATGTATCCCAAATCCCACTGCTGCAGGAATTGGAACTCCCAGTTGACTGACTCCAAAACCAAGGTTCTTTCCACTACACGAGCTCTCCTGGAAATGATGCTGTGTGTACAGAAGGCAGCTGAACATGAGGTTAAAAACGAAAAGTAAAAACGACGACTGATGATGAAACACTGCTCTGCAATGGAAAGGAATGAACTGTGGAGCCCAGCAACAAGTGAGATGAATCCCAAAGGCCTTATGCTGAGGGGAAGAAGACAGCCTTGAAAGATTATGTGCTGTATGATTCCATTTATAAGATATTTGGAAAAGACAACTGTAGAGTGATGAGAACAGCCCAGTGGCCACCAGGGTTAGAGATGGAGGGATAGTGTGACTCTAAAGGGCGCTGTGAGAGCTTTCCTTGGAGTGATGGAACTATTCTCTGTCGACTGTGGCGGGGATGGTGGTGACATGAATCTATACATTTATAAAATTCAGAGACCTGTGTGAGGAGGCACACAGGCCTGCATGTGGGCCGAATCATCCCAGATCAGCCCTTTGTTAGCTGGGTGTCCTCAGATACATCCTCCCACCACCCCTACAAGCCTCAGCATCCTCACTGGGGAGTGAGTCACTGAAAGAAGGCCCGAGGGTGCGGGGAAACTCCACAGGTGACAGAAGTGACGTGGCTGCTGTTGAGCAATCCGGCATCAGGGCACACAGGCAGCTGCGCCTGATGCCGGGAACCCTGCGGGGAGCTCATGGAGGGCTTTGTCCTCCGGTGGGGCGCTTTCCCCTGCTTCCCCCACCACCAACCACTTCATCTGGACTGAAGGAGAACCCACTGCGCTGGACTGAAGATAATCTCTGGGCGGCTGTGCGGTAAAGAACCAGCCAGCAAGGGGCCGCTGATGCAAGAGGAGGCGGGTCCTGCGGCCCAGACCGGGCGCAGCCCGCGAGGGGCCCTGGGGCCTCACCCGCATCATGCGGTCGGAGCGGTGCCGCCGGCGGATGCGGTTCAGGCCCTCTACGAAGCGAATGAAGCCGTCCAGGAGCTGCCATTCCTCCTCGTCTGCCCGCGGCCGGTCCCCATAGATGTCGCAGTGGGCCTCTCCCTCCGTGATACGCTTGGTGGCAGTGACGCAGGCCGGCAGCAGCAGGAAGCGTGTCCTCCAGAACTTCAGGGACTCGATTAAGCTGCAGAGGGATACAGTGGGAAAGGAGGCGGAGGTGAGCCCAAGCTGGAGGTGAGCCCAAGCCGGAGGAGGTAAGCCCAAGCCGGAAGAGGCGAGCCCAAGCCGGTGATAGAAGCACCTCCGGCGAGGTGCATCCGTCTCAGCAGCTCCCAACCCCCACCTCAAGAGTGGGGTGTGAGGGTCCTTCTGCCTGGGAGCACGTGCTCATCTGAGGTTGCAGGCTCAAAGAAGACCTCCAAAGCTGCTTTTCCTTTCTACCCCAGAGACGCTGGAATGCTGGTGTGCACCCAGGCCCAGGGTCGTGGCAGCCTTTTATCATCACAACCATAAATCACGCATAAAAATGAAAACTTAAAAACAAGACATCACAAAGCTTTTTATGTAGAGAATGCATAAACAACAAGGTCCTACTGCACAGCACAGAAAAGTATATTCAGTAGCCTGTGGTCATAAAAAAGAAGGACATACTGCCATTACTGCGACATGGGTGGACCTAGATATTATCATACCGAGTGGAGGAAGTCAGAGAAAGACAAACATCCTATGATATCACTTATATGTGGAATCTGAAAGAATGGTGCAGGCGAACTTGTTTACAAAACAGAAACTGAATCACAGATGTAGAAAAGAAACTTAACCGATTACCAAGGAGGAAAGAGAGTGGGGAGAAACAAATTGGGAGACTGGGACTGACATATACATACTACTATATATAAAATAGGGCTTCCCTGGTGGCTTAGTTGGTAAAGGATCTGCCTGTCACACAGGAGGCCTGGGTTCAATCCCTGGGCCAGGAAGATCCCCTGGAAAAAGGAAATGGCAACCCATGCCAGTACTCTTGCCTGGGAAATCCCATGGACAGAGGAGCCTGGTCAGCTACAGTCCATGGGGTCGCACAGAGTCAGACACGACTGAGCGACTACACCACCGCATATAGAGTAGATAACCAGTAAGAACCTCCTGTCCAGCACAAGGAATTCCACTCAATACTCTGTAATGATCTCTATGAGAAAAGAATCTAAAAAAGGGTAGACTTATGTATAACTGATTCACTTGGCTGGACACCTGAAACTAACACAACACTATAAATCAACTATACTCCAATTAAAAAAAAAAAGAAAAGTATATTTACATGAAACCATCACACTGTACACCTTACATATATACTATTTTTGTCGATTATACCTCAGTAAAGCTGAAAAAAGATTTTTAAAGATCCTAGGATAAACCATGGGGGGGCTTCTCTGGTGGCTCAGATTGTAAAGAATCTGTCTGCAATATAGGCGACCCAGGTTCGATTCCTGGGTCGGGAAGATCCCCTGGAGAAAGGAATGGCAACCTACTCCCAGTATTCTAGGAGCCTGGTGGGCTACAGTCCAAGGGTCGCAAAGAGTCGGATGGGACCCAACTGAGTGACTACAGTTTCACACTCTCAGGATAAGCCATAATGGAAAAGAATATTAAAAAAAGAAAGCACATATATAACTGAACCACTTTGCTGTATACCAGAAATCAACGTGACATCATAAATCTACTATACCTCAATTTAAAAAAAAAAGTTACAAGCAGTCAGGAAAATGTGAAGAGCACTGACATTCCACCAAAGGGCACCAGGCTTTTGTTGTTGTTTGTTGTTTCATGTGGCTAAATACATGTAACAACATTTACCACTGTAATGATCTTTCAGGGCACATTCAGTGGCACTCAGTACATTCACACTGCTGTGCAATCGTCCCTATCCATCTCATCACTGAGTTTTTAACCCAATCCAGATGTGTTTTTCCCTCATTTTTTTCCCCCCAAAAACGTCCTCATTTTGCAATCAGGGGGAAGGACAGAGGCATTAAGTTACAGACATGTGGCAGGTCACGATGGTGGGAAGCCAACTCGGGTTCTCTGACCTGAAGTCCTCGGAGCCGGCAGAGCAGATGTACTGATCTAAGTAATTCCACTTGTACTCCTCCAGTCGCTCATGCGAGAATTCCACCCAACAGGAGACGAACTCTGAATCGGAGTGGGAGGGGCAGAGACTGTAGGTGTAGTGGATCTGGGCAGACTCGTATGGGTACCTGAAAAACAAAGGTCCAAACAAGGATACCCACCAACTCGTCTGTACCTTTTCTTTCTCAATACACTTGGCATTCAACCACAGTAACCATCTCATCTCAGGGGGCTGGTAATGGAGATTTCTCAGTTTTTAAACCAGAAAAACATCTACTTTTGCTGTATTGATTATGCCAAAGCCTTCAACTGTGCAGATCACAACAAACTGTAGAAAATTCTTCAAGAGATGGGAATACCAGACCACCTTACCTGCCTCCTGAGAAATCTGTATGCAGGTCAAGAAGCAACAGTTAGAACAGGACATGAACAAATGAACTGGTTCCAAATTGGGAAAGAAATACGTCAAGATTGTGTATTGTCACCCTGCTTACTTAACTTATATGCAGAGTACATCATGTGAAATGCCAGTCTGAATGAAGCACAAGCTGGAATCAAGATCACTGGGAGAAATATCAATAACCTCAGATACACAGATGACACCACCCTTATGGCAGAAAGCGAAGAAGAGCTAAAAGAGCCTCTCTATGAAAGAGAAAGAGTAGAGTGAAAAAACTGGTTTAAAATTCAACAATCAGAAAATGAAGATCATAGCATCCAGTCCCATCACTGCATAGCAAATAGATGGGGAAACAATGGAAACAGTGAGAGACTTTATTTTTTTGGGCTCCAAAATCACTGCAGATGGTAACTGCAGCCATGAAATTAAAAGAAGTTTGCTCCTTGGAAGAAAAGCTATGACCAACCTAGATAGCATATTAAAAAGCAGAGACATTACTTTGCTGACAAAGGTCTGTATAGTCAAATCTGTGGTTTTTCCAGTAGTCATGTATGAATGTGAAAGTTGGACTATAAAGAAAGCTGAGCACTGAAGAATTGATGGTTTTGAACTGTGGTGTTGGAGAAGACGCTTGAGAGTCCCTTGGACTGCAAGGAGATCAAACCAGTTAATCCTAAAGGAAATCAGTCCTGAATATTCATTGGAAGGACTGATGCTGAAGCTGAAACTCCAATACTTTGTCCACCTGATGCGAAGAACTGACACCTTGGAAAAGACCCTGATGCTGGCAAAGACTGAAGGCAGGAGGAGAAGGGGACGACAGAGAATGAGATGGTTGGCCAGCATCACCGACTTGATAGACATGAGTTTGAGTAAGCTCCAGGAATTGGTGATGGACAGGGAAGACTGGTGTGCTGCAGTCCACGGGGTTGCAAAGACTTGGACACGACTGAGTGACTGAACCAAAACCTTCTTATTCTTCTATCATATTCTTTGTTTTTAATTGGAGTGTTAAGACTCATGCTAAACATTGTAAGCTGAATCAAATCCCTTTCAGAAATAGGTGAGCTGCAACCATAAAACACAACCCTGGAAAGCAGACTTTCCTGGTGGTGCACTGGATAGGAATCTGCCTGCCAATGCAGGGGACACTGGTTAGATCCCTGGTCCAGGAAGATTCCACATGCAGCAGAGCAGCTAGGCCCATGCGCCCCAAGTGCTGGAGCCCAAGCACCTAGAGCCTGTGCTCCACAGCAAAAGAAGTCACTGCAATGAGAAGCCTACACACAGCAACTAGCCAAGACACCAGCCCAGCCCCTGCTGGCTTCAACCAGCCCTTGCAAAGCAATGAAGACCCAGTGGGGCCAAAAATAAATAAATAAAAATTAAAAACAAAAACAAAAAAAAAAACCCTGGGAAACAAAATAGTAACTCCAAAACAACAACTCACTCAGTCTCCCCGGTTTAAATATACATGTAATTCAGTATGTGGACAGTATGTGTTATAAACATCACTTGGTAGGTGGACATGATCTAGGACAGAAGCTGAAAACGTTAAACACCCAGGACTCACTTGGGAAGGTACCGGGTCACTGTGATCATCTTGTCTTTCAGTGTGACTTTGTGGAAGGTTCTGCCCATGCTCAGCCAGTACTGGTCTTCCTCCTCTGGGCGGTTTCGGGACACAAGGCCTAATAAGGAAAAAAAGAATTTCCTCCATCTGGTTGAGGGTCCTTCCTTTAAAAGGCAATTGCTTCTCTTCCACATAGATTCAAAAAAGGAGAGACAAAAGAGGCAACACTTTCAGTTTGGCAATTTCGGGGAAAAGAAATACTCTTGGTTTAAAAAAAAAAAGTCCTGAAGGTGGAAGATTTTTCTGTTACTGAACCAGCCAGCAGGGGGTTGGAATCGGGGGTACTGACAGCATCTGGCTGCCGAGGCTGAACAACCTGATGCCTCGTCCTCTGTGAAGGGAAGTTCTGAGGTGGATGTTAACTAACTAAAATGGAACTCCACCCCTCTCAGGCACAAGCTGCCACCTGGCATCTGAGACCCTCACCCCTAGGGCCGCCCACCCAGCCCATGATGCCCACTCTGCTACACCATGTTTCAGACTTAAAGGACCGCTTACTGGGGACTGCCCTGGCAGTTCAGTGGTTAAGACTCTGTGCTTCCACTGCAGGGGACATGGGTTCGATTCCTGGTCAGAGAACTAAGATCTCATATGCAGTGCAGCCAAAAAAAAAAGGAACCACTTATTTAATTGATCAAATTTCCTTCTCCAAACATCTGCTCCTGTTGCTTCTTCTGCCTTCTCTTCCTGGACCACCTTCAAATTCCTAGAGATTGTTTAAGGTCACCATCAAGTGCCACCTTCTTCAGAAAGCTATCAGACCCCATCAATGGTGAATTCTACCCTGGATATAGCTCCTTGTATGTGTCTGTCTCACTCCATGACAAAGTAAATGTTCCAGGAGGCCAGGGCCCAAATCTTGTTCATCTTTGTATTTTCAGTAGCACCGGATAAAGTGCCTGTTCAGAGAAAAGGCAGCCTGGATGGGACCACTAACATGAAAGGGGAATTCGTACCAGCACGTTTAGGATAAGAACAAACTCCTTCACATGGCCTGTGCAGCCGGGCCTCCTGATGTCTCTGGCCATGTTGCTGGCTCATTCATGGTCCTCCCCACACTCCTCTTCTAGGTGCCAAGAAAATCTCACAAGGTCTCCAGCCACAGGGCCTTTGCACACACACTAATCCTGCTGCCTAGTGTGCTCCCCTCACACTAAAAACTCCTGCATTTGTTTCAGGTCACAGCTCAAACATTACCTCCTGAAAGAAGCCGCTTCTGACTCTCCAGACCAAACCAGGCCCATATTAAATAATCTCGGACGAGCATTTTGATTTTTCCTTCATGGTCTTTATCATAACATGGAATTATATTTCATAATTTGACTAATGTTATTTTGTCCTATAGAGTAGGTGCTTCAAAAATACTAATGAATGAAGGACTGAATGAATGAATGAAATAATGAGTGATTGAATGAGTGACATAATAAAATGGGTGAACTAATGAATGAATGAGTGAACAAATGATGAACAAATGAATTAGTGAAATAAGGAATTAATGAATAAAATTAGTGAGTGAAATAATGAATGAATGTGTGAAATAATGCATGACATAATGAATGAATGAATGAACGAACACCATCATAAATTCATAGACCCATGCTGTCCTATATCAGGCACTGTGGCTTCCATAATGGAAGATAATAAGATGAAGCTGAAGTTATCCTAGTACTCAGAAAGGTTATTATTAGTAGAGTCTATAATATGAAAAGGTATCACGTGATACACACCACAAGAGGCTTTTAGAGAAAACCCAGAGGAGCCCAAAGCTTCATGGTGAACAAAGGGGCATGGACGCAAGGACCACTAAGCCCCTGCTGACAGGTCCATGCTTCTTTGACCCTCTGACTGAAGGAGCTTTAATGGAACCAAAGCTGACCTGAGGTTTGGTTCTGGCTGTCTAGGGAGCAGGGTGGGGTGCTCGTTAGCTATATGGAGGAAGCAGGGGACAAAGAGACACTCAGTGATGGCTCCAGGAAGTGACCGCTGCTCTCCGGTTCCAGGCCCCAAAATGTAATTCTTGCTGCTGGACTTGTTTCAGGGGAGACCTCCAGAGCCCAGCTCAAACTCAGCCAGCACCACTGAGTCTCTATACTCACTAGCCTCTGTCACTCACGGATGACCCATCTTGGCTTCAAGTCACTGAGCTGCGGTGAGCTGCAGTGACAATAATACAGAAGGAGAGGAGAACAAGCATAAACTTCAGGTTCAGGTAACATTAGAGGACCTACAGTGTCAGGCACTGTGCAAGAAATAAACCCAGGCCTCTGGGATGGGAATATTCACCCTGTAGTTTGACGGTTTGGCCCCTGCTCAGCAGCCTGGGACCCAAGGTACTGCTCAAGCCAGGCTGGAACATCCCTGAACTTAGCCATACACTCTTCCTTAAAAGGAGAGTTGAAGATTAAAGAGTTTTAAGATAAGTCTGAACCCAGAGGAGACGTTAATTCTTGTATAAAGTAAAAATTTTAAAGGGAAAAAAAATGCGTAAGCAATACAGCAGAGAATATCTGTGTAAATATGCCACTGCATAAACATATTAATGTTATATATTAGTATACATAAATGTATGAATCTATGTACCTAATATGAAAGTACTAGATCAAAAAAAAAAATGTGTGTTGAAAAACAATGATTTTAAGTGTATGTATTCCCTACTATCTTAAGAACTTGTTCGTACAAATTGAGTACAGAAGAAAACTCAGGGTCCACAGTGGCACCTCACCCCGGCTGTAGAGCGGGCTGCTGCTGAGTGGCGGTGGGCCGGCAGGGCTGGGCTTCTGTGCACGGGGCTGAACAATGATCTGGTAACCCTGCATGAGCCGCTGGCAGATGAACTCTTCAAACACCTGCTGGGCCGTCATCTGCACACCCTCCTCGTCCCTCCTAAAAAGACAGATGGCGTTCACAGGATACGCCAGGAGCACAGTGACAGAGTCCCCAGTCCTCAGCTCCACCCCCGTGCGCCTTTCCATGGTGGTGCGTGAAACTGAGGATTTGCAAACCAGTCTTGGGAGAAGCAAAAGCCAGGCACCTTCTCCCTGTCACCGACCTGTCGATGTCAGCCTCTGGGAGGAGATCGTAGCAGCCCTCCGTGTAGTCGTTCTGTAGGCCCTGGCGGTCGGGGAAGTAGTCCGTGGTGAGGGGGAGGCACGCAGGAGTCGTGAGTGACTTCCAATCCACACCAACTGTGCAACAGAAGCCTGGCACTACAGGGGGAGCAGACAGCGTCAGAACTGCCTCGTGTGAACAGGGAGGAAGGTAGTGAGGTCACCAGGCAGGTGTGGGATGTGGGTGGGGAATGGGGGGGAGGAGGGTGGTGTGACAGGTGATCAAATTGCCAGGAAAGGGAGGGAGAGAGAAAGGGAGGGGGGAGGGAGAAAGAGAGAGAAACAGAGGCTGTTAGACAACGCAGTGCTTATCCGATCCCACCATGCAAATGGGAGTCGCAGCCGACATTTTTCATTTTCTGCTGATCGTGAGCTGCAGCCGTGAGTCCAGTGAGGTTACGGTAGGGGCAGGCCAGGCAGAGTTACACATCGAAGCAAATCAACGTCCTGAGAGCGGAAGAGAGGCTCAGGCCGGGAGCCTCCCCGAGGCTCCCCGAGGGGGCAGAGGGGCCGGGTAGGGAGAAGAGAGGGGCGCAGCTGATTCTGGCGCGAATAGCACAGGGGAGCAGAATTCAGGATTGAAAAGTAAGTCACGGATCCATCAGGGCAGGAAGAGGAGTCAAGGGAGGATGTCTGGGAAAGTTACGAGGCTGGAACTTTAGGAGCTGGAGTTTAATAATCTAGAAATGAGAGCTGCCGTGGCAGAGCGGGCCCGACCCTCTGGGTCGGTCAGAGATCGCCTGCGCTTTGGTGAAGTAGGGCTTCCCCACTTTGGGGCATGAGACCTACTCTGGTCAGGATAATTCTCTGTCCTGGGGGGCGGTCCTGGGCACTGCAGGATGTGGGCAGCATCCCGGTCCCTACTCACTACATGCTAGTGGCATCGCCTGGCTGTGAAAACCAATGGTGTCTGCAGACACGGCCTCACGCACCCCAATGAGCAGAATACCCCTTGCTGAGAATCACTGAGTTAACGCAGGGGGCAGTTAGCTTCTTCAGTCAAGTAAGTGAACATTATTTTTCAAATTTTCATACAAGGGAGCAACAAGAAGCAGACATACTCCACGCTTCAGCCTCTGCGTCCCCAGCGAGACCCTGAGACGCCTCATCCTCCGTGGCTCCTCGGTCTTCCGCCCGCTGTCCTCCCGACAGCCCTCCTCTGAGCAGCCGTGGTGGCATCATCAACCCCTTTAACACCTGGCCGAGCTGAATCCCCCCCAAGGTCACAGGACCAGAAGCCTCTCTGCTCAGGGATCTTTCCTTCATAAAGTGACCAACATGCCCCCAGGAAAACAGTGTCCCTGAGCCTGCGGGCCAGGGGCCAGGAAGACTTTCGAGTTGGGTCCCAGCAGGAAACATGCCCCGTGTGCAGCCACAAGGCTTGGGGGAAGATGACCTGACCTGCAACAAGCCTAATTCCACAGTCTCCACTCCAGGTCCCGGGGTGACTTCTGCTTGGTTGGTCTGAATTTTATTTTATTGTGGTAAGAACACTTAACTTGAGACCTACCACCTTAATAAATTTTTAAGTGTACAATTCAGTATTCTTAAACTTGGGACAGTGCCATGCACCAGGTCTCTAGAGACCTTACTCATCTCACAAGGACTGAAGTTTTACGTCCACCAACTAGCAACCCCCCCGCACCCTGCCCACCTTCCCCTGGGACCCTGGCAACCACCTTTCCACTCTCTCAGTCTATGAGTCTGACTCCATACAGGCCTCGTGAACTCCTTAATAGCCCAAGAACTCAAAACACAGCTAAAGGGAAAGAGAGGAGGGAGAGGAATGGACTGGGAGTCTGGCGTTAGCAGATGCAAACTACTACATTTAGAATGGCAATGGCAAGGTTCTCATGTATAGCACAGGGAACTATATTAAATATCCTGTAATAAGCCATAATGAAGAAGAATATAAAGAAAATAATGTATGTTTGTGTATAACTGAGTCATTTTGATGTACAGCAGAGTTGCACAACATTGTAAATCAACTAGACTTCAATAAAAACAACAACAAAAAAAACCCAGCCCACAACATCCTAGTTAGCACCCCAATTTCCCATATGGCAAACAAGGGTGAGTTTGTGTGAGCTTCCTTGTCAGAATCAGCAGCAGAAGGTGGGTACTGCATGGAGCCCCCAAGGGGAGGCCGGAAATCCAAGGCCCTCTATCTCAGCGCCTTCTTACACCGTTCTGGCCCTTGCCAGCTCCCTGACTCTTGGGATTATAAAAACCTTTTAGAAACGGGGTCCGCAGGCACACATGGAGATTTCAGACCTCGTGGAGAGAAAAGCTCCCAGTTCTTAGCTGGATGCTGCTGCTGCTTCCCTGGGTAAAGAGGCTGGGTGGCCTCTTTTCCACCTCCAGTACCTCCAGGCCCTGCCAAAGCCTCTGAGGTGGTTCCAGCTCAGAACCACACAGTGACAAACACAGATGACAAAATCCAGTGCCGGGCTTGCAGAGGAGAAACAGGCTCATCTATTCAAGGCTGGCAGCTTTCTAGAAAACAATCAATCTGCCAACTATTCTTTGGAATATATTCCAAGGATCTGAACCAAGAGAAAAAAATACACCCATGACACCATGCATTATATGCTAAAAAAAAAAAAAAAAAAAAAAAAACTAGAAATCACCCAAATGGCCACCAATAGACCTGATTATCCAAATTACAATATAGTAATATGTTTGATATTGACATGAAAAATGACTAGCATGCCAGACCTGGAGAACTAGTGAAATGATTGCTAAGTTAACTTAAAAGTGGGGACAGTAAAAGATTTGGTGATGTACATACATCCATCGGTCACAGTGAGGTAAAGCAACGTTGATCAAGCAGTAGAGTTTCTTTTTCTGGTCTTTTGCTATTGCTGATATTTAGATGTTCAGCTATTTCAACAGACAAGGATGATCAATGTAAATACAACCCAGACACACACTTCCAACTGCAGGGATGTAAAAAGCTTCAGGTCTTATTCCTCCAGACTTCTCCCCAGAGCCACCGTTAGGCATCTCAGAGCCAAGGCCAGCGCTGGGAATATGGCCACCCTTCCCGTGTGGCCTCCCCGCCGCTCCCTTTCCATCAGACAGGCTAGACTCTCCCTCACCACACTGCCTTCCCGCACCTGAGACATGAACGTCCAGGCTGTTCTCTCCCCACAGGGCGCCTCCCTCTTGCTCCCCCACAGTGCCCTGACCATCCACCTCACACCCCCACCTCCCTCCATCAGTCGCCCCCTCTTACTTGGGTCTGGAGAGGTAGACACACTGTCCTCTGGAGAATCCTTATTCTGGGTCCGAGGATTCACACCTATGGAAAGATAAAAAGAATCTGTTTCACTGAGGCTCATTTTGCAAAAAAGTTCTGACCAGTTATAGTCTAAAAAAAAGAGAGACAGAGAGAACCTTCCACACCAGTCATTAAATAAGGACTTCTCTTTTCTCCAGAGCAGATTCTACAGTTCCAAGACTCATCTTCTGAGGAATCAACGGGTCTATGAGAGCTGCCTCCCCCAGGCCCAGAATCACACTCCATGACCACCCTGGGAAAATCCTGAAGCAGTTACCACCTGAATCCATGGTTCCCCTGCTTCAGGTCACCAGGAAACTCACTCTAAGTGTGGTCCCATAAGCCCCAGAGCAGTCCTCCTTTGTATGACTTGACCCCAAACAGCTGGGAAGGTCAAACTCTGGATTCCTATAAAGTGGCTCCTTTTAGCAAAGTAACAGAAATGTTGCCTTTATCATATTCTTTTTTTTTTTTGAAGTTCTTTTCTTTTAATATTTATTTGGCTGCATAGGGTCTTAATTGCGTCATGTGGGATATTTTTGTTGTAGCACATGGGCTGTCTAGTTGTGGGGCACGGGATGAGCTGCTTTGCAGATTGAACCCACATCCACTGCATTGCAAGGCAGATTCTTAACCGCTGGACAGCCAGGAAGGTCCCTTGCCTTTTATCATATTCTGAAGGCACTTTCCAAGAGCCTGGAAACCAACTACCATTTTCAGCCCCTAAGCACAGGGATCAAAAATATCTTAGCCCTAAAATTTTATTCAACATGTCTTCTCATTCAAAACGAATGATGGAAAGATGGACTAGAAATAGGAAGGAAATAATTACGATACTTTAGGAATCCTCTCACTGCCAATCCAATTTTCAAGCCTTAGCTATAGGCCACCAGAAACATCACTAGCTGAATCCACCCATGAATGTAGGCAAACTTTATTAACTAATTTTATAAAATTTCAATCCCATTGTTTTCCTCAAGTCAACTTTCAGAAAGGCAAGTTAACTTATAGAAAACGAAGACATGAAATAGTAACTTCATTTTTTCTTTCAGTTTTAATGTTTTTCATATTCATTTGGTGTAGTATCTATCCTTTGAGGCTTTCCAAAATCTGCCCTCCACCCATCTAAACCCATGTTCCCCTACCCCTGTAAAGGTTCTCTGAATAGTGCAGAAATCAGAAACAGCAGCCAATGCAGGAGACATAAGAGAGGCGAGTTTGATCCCTGGGTCAGGAAGGTCCCCTGGAGGAGGGCATGGCTACACACACAAGTGTTCTTGCCTGGAGGATCCCATGGACAGAGGAGCCTGGCGGGCTAGAGTCCATGGGGCTGCGGAGCGTCAGACACGACTGAGCACAGAAACAGCAGAACAGCTGGCTGCTGGCTTGAGAGATCAGAGTAACATCTCCCCATCTCTGGGTGTTAAGTTGCTACATGTGTAAAATATATTTAATGACTTACTCCCTACAGGAATGATCAGATAACAAGTGCTTCCAAAAAGCATAAAGCCTGTATCAGTAAAAGCTCCAACCCTCCCTGCACTTAGAATCCCTTACCTTCTAACTCTCCTCCTGACCAAATGCCACCCCTTCGCGTCTGAGGTGCCTATCCACTTGTGTAAGCCAGTGGTCCTCAAACTCTTTGGCACCAGGGACCGGTTTTGAGACAATTCAAGCACATTACATTTATTGTGCACTTTATTTCCATTACATCAGCTCCACCTCAAATCATCAGGCATTAGATCCCAGAGTTTGGAGACCCCTGCTGTAAGCAACAAGGTCATCCTTCTCTTCTCCAATCTCAAACCACACTGCTCCCTCTGGGTCTCTGATCATTTTTATGAGGGGGGGGGGGTCCCCTTCCACATATAATTGAAAGCTTCTAAGCCTGGTGCGGCCCCCAAAAGTGATCTCATAAGCAGTCCTCAATCACGACTCACTGACAGACCAATGATAAATGTGTTCCCGACCAACATGTTCTCAGCTAAAAACGTTAACGTGCGGCCCATTTATAATTCCATGCATTATACAGCACGGCTTCTAAATAGGTCACCCGAAATTGGGGCTGAAACGATCCTGAAATAGACACGGCCCTGCTTTTCCGTCCCATGTCACTCCCGGGGTGGGCCTGCTCAGAGCGTCTCTCGGGCGGGTTACCTGCACCACTGCCGCTGAGCAGGCTGACCGAGAGCTCCTCCGTCGCAGCGAAGCTCAAGAAGGACGTGCTGTCGCCGGGCTGCCGGGGAGCGCTGTGCCTGCAGAGAACAGACAGAGCCCAGCCACCTGGCTTACTGTGGATCACCACCTCTTTTATTCTGCTCACCCTGTCTCCGGGGGGCTTTCATCAGAAACAGGCCTGAATGTTTGGCCACACGGGCTGGCAAACACCAAGATCCACATCACAGCTGCCAGGCTTCGGGATCCGGAGCGCATGCCAGCTCGAGACTCCCACCCTGGCACCCCAGCCGCACCCCCATCGCCATGCCAGATGCCTGCCCTCTCCTTCCTAAGTCTGCCCCTGCTGATACCCACAGCAGGATGTGAGGTGCTTCAACAGAGGTATCACGTTAACCTGGTAAAGAGGGTCACGTCCTGCCTGTGTCCCACATCCAGCCCATGGGATGCTGGGACGACTGGAAAGGGGTCAAAGGTTGCCCCTTGCAAGAGTAACGCATCACAGCAGATCCAGAGTAGCCAGGGCCAGAGCACGTCAAGGTTTAAATGACTTTCTTCCTAGGCCGACTCTCTCTGGATGCCTTGTAACACATTTAGAACCCCGGTTCAAAGAGACTTGTTTCTATAAACACAGGCCTTGGTCTCCACTGTTTTTACTTATTTACTTTTTATCAAGCAAAATTTTAATAATATAGAAATATATAGTAGTCCCTAACTTGATCAAAAATATCACTTGAAAGTCAGTAGTACCCATCTTATGATTTGCAATTTGCCAACCATTGCTATTAGATAAATTCTTATACACTGGTTATTTTGAGATCCTAAACAATGCAATAAAATATGAAAAACAATTAAAATGATAAATATCTGCAGTGAAGGCAAAGGATTCTAATTCATTTGGGATCCACTGCTTTCAGCATTAACCCAACAATGGGATTCCTCAATGACCGAAATGACAAAAGTCACAGACTGCCTGCCCAGAACACACAGCAGGAACCACCTGCCCTGGAATTCATTTTCAGCCTTGACTGAGGATCAGCGGTAACTCATGTCTGCGGTTGACAAAGTGTGTTTTGAATAAAAGCAGAAGCTAAGCAGGGCCTGGGGAACACCTCTGGCAAAAACACCTCAGGCTGTCTGTGTCCGACGGGCCCAGCGAAGGGGACTGACAAAGGGTTGATGCTGCACGCCCGCCATGTCCCCGAGTCTCCTGGACGTGACGTGTCATGGGCAGCCCGTTCCGCCATCACCCCAGCATTCTCACAGCACCTCCCAGAGCCCCAGGCCCAGCCTCACCTGCCGGCGGCCTCATGGTATGCCAGCTCCAGCAGCTCCGCGGAGGAGTGGGTCAGGTCCCTCTGTCCGCTGCCCTGCAGCTCTGCCATGTTCTGTCGGGTCTGGTGATGGATCTGAATGGCCTCTCCGGATGGTCCTATCCAGACAGGGACCCATGGACTCATCGTCCCCCCAGAAGCCAGAGCCACACACTCTACCTCACACTGTTTCTCTTCCTGCTGCTGGGACGTGGGCGCTGGAGAGGCTGAAAGGCAACTACAGCGCCCAGGAACATCATGTCCTCAACCCTCTGGTCCCAGACAGGACATCACCTTCTCTGAGCATGGCTTGTCCTCCTGTGAGGCCTCAGCCTAAGAACATTGCAGGGGACGTCCCTGGTGGTGTAATGGATAAGAATCCACCTGCCAGTGCAGGGGCCACAGGTTCAATCCCTGGTCTGGGAAGATCCCACATGCCTTGGAGCAACTAAACCTGCATGCCACAACTACTGACCCCATGCTCTAGAGCCTGAGAGCCTCAAGACTAATTCACCAAAATAAGAAGCCCACACACTGGACTAGAGAGTAGCCCCACTCACCATAACTAGAGAAAGCCTGCACATAGCGATGAAGAACCAACACAGCCAAAAATAATAAAAGAAAGAAAGAAAATTGTGGGAGCCTTTGTTTCACACACATCAAGTGAGATACAGCAAAGACAAGGGCACAGGAGGCAGGGGCTCCTCCCAGGAGGCTTAACGCAGGTCAGGAGAACACACGGGGCTGTCCCAGCCTTCAGGTGCAGAGAAGGATGGCATCTCTGACTGAGGCCAAGGAGGGACGAGTGCTGAGGGCCAGGACTAGGATTTCTGGGCTCGGGCTCTCTCCCGGGAAAAACTCACCCACAGGGAAAGTGTGCATCCAGCGCCTCCTGTTGGACGTGAGCTTCATGGGCATCCGCGAGGGCGCAAAGGGGTTAATCAGCGCCCGCTGGTGCGCGTACCCCCCGGGGCGGACGTGCAGCAGGGACTCCGCGCTGCCCACGTGGAACCGGCCCGGCGCGCTGGAATCCCGCTGCGGTGGCTCCATCATGTTCTCCAGGACGTCTGCCCGTTACCATGGCGACCGGCGGGCGCAGAGAGAAAGCACAGGGTCACAGGGAAAGCAGGGCTAGGCACAGGTCCTCCGAGGCTGACAAGGACCTTGGAGGGCGCACGTGTTCGGGAACGAGGGAGATGAGTGAAATGACCAAATTATAAAGAAATGAAATACTGGGTTGGTTTACTTTTTAAACACTTAAGAGAAGGAGGCTCTGGTCCCTAAATTACTAGCCTAGTGAGGCCACACCCAAAGCCAACAGGGAGGATCACACATTGCCTGGATACCCCAGACTCTGAGCTGGATGCAATGACTCCATGGAGCTGTCTCCTCTGGGGTGGGTGTATTCTGTATACAGGAGGAACAATACATGTAGGTATTTGGTGACCAGAAGGGCGGACCCTGGCAGAGACAGTGAATGTGTTTAGTTCACTAGACCCGTATGATTTTCCCCTGAGGCTCACAAGGAGAGGGCAGTTTCCAGCCCCTTTGCACTGGGGCCACATAACAGAGCTCCAGTCAGCAGAGCACAGGCAGACGCGACCTGCTCCAGCTGAAGGCCTGGACCACTGACATCTCCATTCACGATCTCCATTCCCTGCTGTGGAAACTCTGGAGACCTGTGTTGATGACCATGGCATCCTAGGATAGAAGGAACCCCAGGCCCTAGGTGACTGGGTAGACAGAAATCCCTTACCACTGATGCAGAGGCCTGGAACATGAATAAGCAATCAATGTGACTGTGTTTAAAACAATAATAATAAATTCATGGGAGGAAAAAATGAGGAAATGAGTGCATCCAGCCTTGACTAGGCATGGAGATGGCATGCTATTTAGACCCAACCTGTCCCACCCAATGGCAGACAGGTCCCTAACCTGAGTGGATCAAAGAGCTGAAACCTACTACCAGATCCCCTTGTGAGTGTCCCACCGCCCACTAAGCAAACACCCAGGTTAGAAAGTGGGTCCAGGGACTTCCCTGGTGGTCCAGTGGCTAAGACTCTGTGCTCCCAATGCAGGGGGCCTGGAGCCGATCCCGGATCAGAGACCTAGACCACACGTGCCACAACTAAAAAAGATCTGAACAACGAAGACTGAAGTGCCTCAGTGCTGCCACTAACACATGATGCAGGCAAATAAACAAACAAAAGAGCAAAACCGCTGCCCAGCCCTGCCCTCTGACCTCGAGTGCTGGTGTAGCCCAGGGAGCTGCTGACTTCGTACTGGTGCAGGTGGGGGTGAGGGATCACCAGGATGTTGGCGCTCCTGCCCAGCGAGCTGTCGTCGGAAGCCTGGCTCCTCACCTCCTCCGTGGGCAGCGTCCGACCGGGCAGCGAAGGACTGGACGAAACGTCACAGGAGCTGGCGCTCTTCCGGCTGTGACTCTCCCGCTCTCGCACAGACCTGGCAGGCAAGAGACCAAGTCACTGTCTCCAGCCCAGGCTACATGGAAGACCAGTAACGATAACCCCCGTGGGATCTCTGGGTGGGAGGTGATGCAGGAGGTACTCTGCCCGGAGCAGCTCCAGGAAGAAACAGGGGAGATGACGGACAGTCCTCCCATGGCCAGTCCTGGGATCACAGCCTTATAGAAGCGATCCCTCAGTCTGACCCCACCTCATCCCACCATCAAGCTCGCGTCACGGAGAATGGAGTTTTGACTTGAGGTCATCCAGGAGGAAGCACACAGCACCACCTGAGACGTCTCCTGGCATCAGAAATTGAATCTAAATCTCATTGGGCCTCCAGAGACAATTGCTAGTTTACAGGAGACTCAGAGACGACAGGGCAAGTTAAACATAATCAAGGAAACAAAGAGCCAGAGGAAGAAAAAGCAAAACACTCTACAGTCACAGAAAGGACACAAGATGAAATGCCACATGTGCATCTTCTTCAGGTCCCAACTCAAGCAAACTAACCATAAAAACTGCATTTTTGAGACAATTAGGAAGTCTGGAGAGGGACTGGCTATCAGAGGATATTAGCAATTAGTGTGAATTTTGTTACCAGGAACACAGGTACTATGATCATGTTGGGCTTTGTTTTTTTTTTTTTTAATTCTTATTTGTTAGAGACACACACAGAAATATTTAAACATTAAAAAAAAAAAAGGGTATCTGAGATCTTTTTTAGAATACTCCAGTGAAATTTCAAATGTGGGAGAAGTGATAAAACAAGATTGACAACATGGTGATAAGTGTTTATTTCACTAGTCTCTGAATGTTTCCTTAATAAAAATGAAAAAAAAAAAAAAAAAAAAACACCAGTATGCACTTATTAAAACATGAAACTCCCTGAGGGGGGAGCCTCTGAAAGTGGCAGGAAGAAGGATCAGAAGGAGAGAAGTCAAATGGAAGCAAAAATTCAGAATGAAAGAGTCAGCAACTACCCACAGGGCTGCCCCTGTGTATTATCAAAGCTATTCTCTCTCCACCTGGAAGAGTTTTAAAGTGAGCTTGGATGGAGCCTGAAGATAGATCCCAAGGGCAGACTGCACATTTCATTATTTCAACAATAAATATTTGAGCACCAGCATATGCTCAGCCCAGTGGAGGGACAGAGCACCGATTAGGGCATGGTCTATGCCCTCAGGGAACACAGTCTGAGTCTCCGGGACATCAGGTCTTGCCATCTTTGGTCAGAAGAAAGAAAACCAAGCATTGTGGACCCGGAAGGTGTTCTAAGATGCTCAGAAGAAAAGCACCACCAAGCCCTTGGGCAGCATCCATGTGCAGGGAGCTGCTGCCAACAGCACTTACTCTGAGCTCTAAGCACTCTCGGGACCAGACATCAGGATGGGATGAGGGGAATGGACAGAAGCACGTGGCCACGATGAGCCCGTCTGTCATGATGTGAAGAGACGGGAGGTTTTTCTAGCCAGTGGTACTGAGTTACAGTACACTTTCCATACTAAGAAATGCAGAAAATAGACTGGCGATGCTTGGTCAATGAGGGGGAAAAAAAAAAGCTAGAACTCTATTTCCCACATTCTAAAAAAAATTCTACACAAATCTCTAAGCATAAAAACTAAGACTATAGGGACTTCCCTGGTGGTCCAGGGGTAAGGGCTTCAAGTTTCCATTGCATGGAGGTGTGTTGTTTGATCCCTGGTTTGGGAATCGCATGCCACAATGTGCAGTCAAAAACAAACAGACAAACAAACAAAAACCAAGACTAAAAGAATTAGAAGAAAATACAAAATACACATCTTGGATCTGGGATGGCTTTCTTACACTAGACCCAGAAATGAGTATGTTGGTAAATCTAAACACATCACAATGGAAAACTACTGTGTGACCCAAATACCAGGGAGCAAATTTCAAACACAAGAGTTAAAGAAAGAAAAGTATCTTGCTCTCTGGGAATAATAAACCTAAAAGAAACTCTGGACACTAGGATCGATCTATTGATCTATCTAACTTGGTGGCTCAGATGATAAAGAATCTGCCTGCAATGCAAGAGACCTGGGTTTGATCCCTGGGTTGGGAAGATCCCCTGGAGAAGGGAATGGCTACCCACTCCATGATTCTTGCCTGGAGAACTCCACGGACAGAGGAGCCTGGTGGGCTACAGTCCATGGGGTTGCAAAGAGTTGGACACAACTGAATAACTAACACACTTTCACTTTATCTATTAGTGGCTGCTCAGTGAAATGAAGATTCTAGAATTCAATTGTTCCTCTTGGTTAGAAAAAGCAGGATGCTCTCCTTATTTGGGAACACTTCATCATAACAAACACAGCCAACCAAACAGCTAGGCCAGAGAATGGGAAAACAGAGTCCCTAATGATGTATATACTATGGCTTCCATTTGGCTAATTTTAATTTAAGATATTTTCAAGGTTGCTTTCATGTAGGTCCCTCTGGGGCCTCAGGTTTTCCTAATTAGTTTCTACATCCACCCCAAAGCACATCTGGCAGAGAACCTGCAGGTGGCGAGGCGCTGAGCCCGGGAGGGGCCCGGGAGCCTGAAGACTTGTGCGTCATAAGCATCGTAATCCACCTGGATGGGAAGGGCGTTCTCAGATTCTTTGGGGGTCCCGAGAGCTGAAACACATGAATAATATCAACTGTCATCAAAACACACTTCAATAAGAGGCCTTCGGATGGTCTTCATCAAAATCTGCAAGGTATAGGGCATCATCAGCATCTTCCCATGGAAAAAAATGAGATAATAACCCATGATCAGGTTGCAAAGATTAAATGATTTTTGCATCAAAACAACAGAGAAGTTACTATTTACAAGCACTAAGTAAAGGCCAGATGATGGCACCATTTCCTTCTGTGATACCATTGTTAAAAAACAGCATTTTAGTGGGATGTGGGGGTTGGATGGGAGGGAGGCTCAGGAGGGAAGGGATATACGTGTGCATGTAGCTGACTCACACTGCTGTGCAGCAGGAACTAACACAACATTGTAAAGCAATTATACTCCAATTAAAAGAATAAAAAAGCAATCATAAAAAATAGCACCTTAATGTATATATTTAGTCCTTTAAAACTTTTCACCTGATTCCTATAACCAACCTATGGAAAACAAACACAAGATTTTGGGGAAAAAAAAAAGTCCTGTTATCACCCACTCTGCAGTGGGTGATGGGACAAAAACATACGCAGGCATTAAGGGACCTTCCAAAGGTCACACAAGGGGAATTCAGGTCCCAAACTTGACCATGAACTTTTTACGCAGCCTCACGAAAACCTGTTGCCATGGGTCAGCTGACTCTTCCTAAAACTGATGAAAGAAGGAAAAAAATACTCACATGTATCACGGCCGTTTTTTGCTTTCTCAGAGGTGGGCTATAAAGTTAAACAGATAGTTAATCACTCCTGGAATTTAGCCTGGTGTTTATTTACTTAATGCAGAAGACTATAAAATCTTAAAATGAATTTCTCAATGCTATTCGTGACCACTGGGAAATCGGTGGTAACTTAGGGCCAAAATAACAATATCAGTGACACTCCCCAGAGGCTCTCCTGGTCAGTGAAACCTACCTTCTTTCCTGCCAGTTTAATTCGTGGAGTGAAACTATTACAAAAGAGCTGGCTTTTGGATGTGTAGAAACTGTGAAAGAAACAGACAGGGTCACTCATCTAAACCCCTTTCATTTTATTTTTAATTAAAAAAAAATTTTTTGACGGTGCCACACAGCATGCGGGATCTTACTTCCCCTACCAAGGATCAAACCCATGCTCATGCAGGGGAAGTGCAGAGTCTTAACCACCAAACCACCAGAGAAGTCCTCAAACCCCTTTCATTCTAAACTTCCAGACACAGTTGGAATCCCAGCCATTGATCAGCCCTCCTAGGAACGCTCACTCAGGCCTCACTGATCTTTCCAATTCTAACTTTCCTTTGTAATTACTAGGAAACATTGATTACGTTTTAAATTATTGTTCTATTCCTTTCCCCCATAAATTGTCTCATGTGTGCTAGTCTTCATTTCTAAGTGGTTTAGAACCCCCTCGTTGAGCTGAAATCAGCAGGAACACTGAGGCCTGGTCCCAATGAAGAGGAGGCACAGGAAGCTTCCCACAAACAGAGGGGCCCAGGCCCAGCATCAGTCATCTGTGGGCTGTGGGAGTCGGGAACTGGTGTGGAAAGAAGTCCTTCAAACTTGGTCTTATGCTTTTCACCACAGACTGTAATTATGTCATGGCCATGGCTTTGCATGTAGACAGGTTTGAAGCAAATGTTACACCTTAAGTTTCCACACTTTCTTGACAAAAGATTTTATATTAAGAGTTCAACAGGCTTGAAGAAAAAATGGCAAGGGAGCTAACAGAATCCCTGATCACCTATGGTGAATCCGCTCTCGCTCACCTGTGGTTTATCCAGTGAGGGATGTTGTAGTCATCGCCCAGACGGGAGTCGTGAGGGGCACTCCGATTGTGCAGCTGAAAGGGAACAGAGCATGGACCAGGTGAGCTGGGAAGCAGGCGGGACCCGGAGCCAGCCAGCTTCTCCGATTCTAACTATCCCAGACCACCCTGCACTGGAGCCTGGCTTTTATCAAGCCGGGCGAAATCAATCACCTTGAACAACGGGACCGCGTGCAGCGGCTGCTCCCCCATGCATACCAGGTCCACACCGATTCCTAAGGAACAAAAGGGAGAGTTGGGGGGTGCGTGTGATTTAAGTGGGGTCAGGGTTCGAGACACAGCTGACTTATCAGCACTGCCCAAGGCAGGTAAGAAGGAAATAGGTGCATTCCATCTTTCTAACCTTCACCAAGTCCCACTGCACCTGCCACTAATCAGCACTTGACAATCCGCCTCTGACTGCCCTGCGGGTCGTGATCTGCCAAGCAGACCACCATGCGGCCATGAGCACAGTTTCAAGGCCAGAGAGGAAAGGGAACCCTGCCAGCTCAGTAAAAAGCAAAACAATTCCATCAGTTCAGAGTCTCTTTACTGGCCGTCGGGACTCATGTTCCCAACTGCGTCTTGCTGTTGGAACACAAATCCAGCTGGGGGAGGGGTGCAGGTTGGGGACATCACAGAGGGAGTACCAGGTGATGCTGTGGCACTTCCCAGGACGGGCCAATGGGCACTGGATCCTGGAAACAACCCCCAAAGGCGTTCTCCGAGTCAAGTATGTCTGGGAGACTCAGAGTGCCAGTTCTGTCCTTTAGAAGAAAACAAGACACTCTGACACCGTCACACTGGCGATGAGGGACTGTGCCTGACTGCGTTCCCAAGCTGACCGACCATGGAACTCTCTTTGTCATCTGACGTTACTCAGGTCCCCAGTCCCGATACTCAGAGCCCTAAGGCTAGCCAGGCTATAAACACAGGACGCAGGGCAGCGCCCCGGAAGCATTACCGTTATCTATCATCCGCTGCTTGGTCAGGATCATGAGCAGCCGGTCCACTTCGAACACGCCCACCCCGGGTGTGATCACCACCGACATCTGCCCGGTTCGGTCAAAGTTGCGGTTGATATAGTGCTTGTCAAACACTTGAAACAGAGCAAAAAGTCCTCCCATGAAGATGCTACAGCATCTCAGAAACTAGCCAATGGCAAGCACTCCTGTGCTCTCGGATCCTCTTCGTCCATGTCCCTATCAGAACGACTGCCACCTCCTGGCCTGAACTCATGACTGTCCTTCCCCTTCAATGTTAAGAGCTTCTTATGTACAGCTCTATGGCCCTGTCACCTTTGTTAACCCCCCTCTTCAAGGGTGTATACCTTGTTTGTGCAGCCTTTTGTGAGAAGTGAAAGTGTTAGTCGCTCAGTCGTGTCCAACGCTTTATGACCCCGTGGACCATAGCCCGCCAGGTTCCTCTGTCCATGGGGTTTCCCAGATAAGAATACTGGAGTGGGTTGCCATTTTCTCCTCCAGGGGCTCTTTCTGACCCAGGGATAGAACCCATGTCCCCTGCATTGCAGGCAGATTCTTTACTGTCTGAGACACCATGCCCAAATTTCATGTAGTTAATTTAAACCATCCATAAATGGATTTGTATTGCAACTTAGAAGAACCAAATATTAATTAAGACAGTATTCCAGTATTCTCTGCTAAATGTTACATGGCAGCCTGGATGGGCGGGGAGTTTGGGGGAGAATGTATATGTATGGCTGAGCTCTTCTGCTATACATCATGCTATTAACAATGGTTTCTCTTTGGGAAAGATCTGACAGTGGAGGCAGAGGGGATATTTTTATTTTATTTGAAGTACTTTTCTAGTATTTGAATTCTAGGAACATGGGTTCCTTCTGTGATTTTTTTTTAAAAAAAGTAGATGTAAAAAAAATTACCTAGAAGCAATTAAGGGATGGAGTAGAAAATAGTAAGAACACAGTTTTTAGGAAAATAAATGACCCAAGGAGAATTGCCTACAGCTCTTTACCCTTGGGTCAGCATGAGACATGCAAGTCAACTGCCAACAGAAGCCCCAAGACCCACATGGTGGCCATTAAATCCATCTAATCAGGACTTCCCTGGCAGTCCAGTGGCTAAGAACCGGCCTTTCAATGCAGGGGACATGGGTTCAATCCCTGGCGGGGGAACTAATATCCCAGAGGCCATGGAGCAACTAAGCGCTGCCACAAAAGATCCTGCATGATGCAGTGAAGATCCTGCACGTTGCAACTACGAGCCGACGGAGCCAATACGTGAATATATGGTTTATAAAGTCACTGCTTTCAGTTAACCTGGGAGCTAGGTAGCTGGGGGCATCACCAGCTCGGCCTGGGTCTCTGCACATCAATAAAGAGAGGTTCACGGTCATGTGGTCGGCGAAATGCCCACAGACTGTGGCCAACACCCATACTCACCGTTGAAGGACAGGTTGATGGCCTCTAGGTAATTTCCTTGTGCTGAGGTAGAATTGTCTCCTTGAGGAAAGCCCTCTGAAGCAAAAGACACAGAGAAGGAACATCATCTCATGAAAGATGGACTCGCAAGGAACAAGCGGAAGGTGCCTGGCTCCGCAGGGCCCCCACCCTGCAGAAGGGACGTGACTGAACTTACTGCACGCGCAATGACCAGCGGGACCCCCAACCCGAAATAGACACCTGGCCAGAAGCAGAAGCCACACTCCGAGCTGGAAGGGAGGCAAGCAGGAACCTCTGCGTCCCCCAGCCTCCACCCGACACCGCCTCTCCCACCACGCCTCCCGGCACGTTAAGTGCAGTACCTGCCTGTTCCAGCCGCACCAGCACTGGGTACTGGATGAAGAGCTTTTTGATGGTCACGAGGAGCGAGGTCCACTCTTCCCGCCTCTCGTTCTGCACCACCACCCTGAAAGGAGCACCATCGAGAGGTGGGGACTAAGCAGCGATGACGCATGGGACGTCGGGTCCCTTACAGGGTTTCACGGAAAGGGGAAGAAGGGACTCCTGGAGCTGGGGTCATTTACCACACAACCATACCTGATGAAGTCGAATGTGTTTAACAGACATGGGCAGACTGGACTCCTCTAATGGTTCAGTGGTTAAGAACCCACCTGCCAATGCAGGGGACAGGGGTGCGATCCCTGGTCCGAGAAAATTCCCTATGCTGCTGGGCCACGAAGCCTGGTGCCACGGAAAAGAGTCGCCCCCACGAGATACAACTAGAGGAAGACTGAGTACGGCAACAAAGACTCAGCACAGCCAGCGGCAATTAAAACGCTCTAAAAAGCAGCAAACTTGAGAGGAGGATGTAGAGACTTCCCATGTATTCCCTCCCCTAACACGTGTTTTGTACTCCCCTCCCCCGACTATGGTCAATACTCCTCACTGGAGTGGAGCATTTGTTGAAATTCCTAAACCTACAGGGACACATCATCATCGGAAAGTCCCCTTATTCTTTAGGAACAAAATGCTTTAGTATCTGTCATTTGCTCTGAAGTAAAATTTAACACACACACACACACATTAAAAAAAAACATAGGTGAAGCAAACATGGAATGATATTAACTGTTTAATCCAGGAACTGGGGGTATGGGTTCATTATATTTAGTTCATTCTTCTTTTCTGCGAGAATTTGAAATTTTTCACAATAAAAAGTTTGGGAAGTTCAAAAGCAATGTGATATCCTAAACTGGATCCTGGAATAAAAAAAGGGGCATAAGCGGAAAAACTGATGAACTCTGAGAAAAGTCTGAGATCTAGTTCATAGCCATGTACCAGTGTGGGGCTTCCCAGGTAGCTCAGTGGTAAAGAATCCACCTGCCAAGCAGGAGATGGGGGTTCGATCCCTGGGTTGAGAAGGTCCCCTGCAGAAGGAAATGGCAACCCACTCCAGTACTCTTCCTAGAGAATCGCATGGACAGAGGAGCCTGGTGGGCTACAGTACATGGGGTCGCAAAAGAGTCAGACAAGACTGAAGCGATTGAGTACACACCAGCGCTCATCTCTGAGTTCTAAAAGATGCACCTTGGTGAGGAAATGGTCAGAGGAAACTGTGTAAAGGGTATATGGAGCTCTCTGTGCTAGCTTTGCTACTTCTCTGCAAGCCTAAAATTATTCCAAAGTCAAAAGGGTAATATTTTAAGTCAGATAAGAAACAACCAAGGAGAAAAAAAGGCAAAAAAAGCAAAGCACCCAAACATACTTGTAAAAGTCTTCATAGAATCGCCCCTTGTGATCCTGCCTAATTGAGGCTCTGTTTATTTCAGGAAATTCATCTGAAATAGAGAAAACAACATACGTAGATCAGATTGAAGAGAGAAATTCAGCTTCTCTGCTTCCCCTTCTGGATTGAAGATCTATATCACACAAACACACACAAAAGATAACTATATTTCTAATAAGTTGGGAAAAGTTTTCAATTAGCAATAATGGCGCCTCAGATAAATAAACCTCATGGGCTACGATACTGCCACTGTGCAAAACTAGGTTGGTTTTAAGATGGATCGCAGCCCAGAGACTTCTTGCATTGACTAATGGACTGAGTCATTTTCTACTCTATCCTATCTTTTAACAGAAAAATTGGGAGAGATGGAGCAGGAGAGAAAAAATGATACAGAGTGAATCAGGATGGACGTGTGGAAAGCTTAATAAAAAAATAACTTTAGGAACAGTTAGAGAGGTTGGGATGGACATGTACACCCTGCTATACTTGAAATGGATAACCAGTAAGGACCTACTATGTAGCACAAGGAACTCTGCTCAATGTCATGTAGCAACACGGATAGGAGGGGATTTGGGGAAAGAATGGATACATGTATATGTATGGCTGAGTCCCTTCACTGTTCAGTTGAAACTATCACAACATTGTTAATTAGCTATACCCCAATACAAAATAAAAAGTTAAAAAAAATATAACTTTGTAAGAGAAAGAGTTACTCACCAAGAGATTTTGCATCATAAAAAGTCCTAGAAAACAGGACCACTGTCACTTCATGACTGCAGTTCTTCTCCTAGGCATGAATAGAGAAAAAGAGGGCTCAAGTTTAATCCATTTACTTCACCATGAAGTAGCCTGTGTGAACATAGCAGTCTCAGCTCTGGAAGGCTGGGAGGCTCAGGTATTGGGTAACCTCCTGTAACTGTAGGCTGCATAATACAGCGGACAGATTGCTAGGCTGACTCGTGGCTCTGAAACTGACCACTACATGACCTTGGGCAAGTTATCTGAAGTCACTGCAAATCACTGGATTTCCCCAGTGGTCCAGTGGTTAAGACTCCACGCTTCCACTGCAGGGGGCACGGCTTCCATCCCTGATTGTGGAACTAAGGTCCTGCATGATACACAGTGCAGCCAAAACAAACAAACAAAAAACTGCAAATCATCAATAAGGTGGGGGTGCTGTCTCCTTGCTGTGGTGTGAAACAGACCAGCCCACTGTCAGAGGATCCTGGTATTTATACCTGGTGTTTTTTAACATTTTCAGGACTGTGGTTTAGAGAAGAACAGAACCTAGGGTAGTGAGTGGGATGCCAGAACCAGACACTCCCACCTACTTCCAGGGTCACAGGACCGGGACTGGATGCTGCTTGAGATGCAGGGGTTGAAATTAAGGCAGAGAATTACCTTTGGACTGGGATGGGGATGAGTGAGAATAAACATTTCCATGCAGTCGGGAGCTCAATATTCTAGAAGTAGGGTGTTTACAGACGGCATGAAATTTGGCCTGCACCAGAGAGTCAGCAAGCTCAGTATCAGTTCCTCCTGGTCTTTGAAAACAGAAACCCACACTAACCAACCTAGACTCGAACTCAGCCTACTGATTGCACAATTCAGCGGTCATCATATAAGGAAGACAACATAACGCACATAGCACGTCACCTTACGTTCTTCACAGCTATCTCTCAGGTAGACAGAAACTCCTAAATACAAGCCACAGGACCAAGGGCACACTTTCACTAGCCACCAACTCATTTATTGGACATCTAGCATTCCAAATGCAGTTTCAAACTCATCTGATTGGGGTTTAAGTTTTAGACAGGAAAAATGCCTGACAGTGGGCTGGCGAGCTTCTCAACCCATGTTTAATGGAGGAGGTGATGTACAATGGGGTTGACATGGCTCAGGATTATAGAAACACAGACAGGATGGCCTGGGGGTTACAATCCCAGGAGAGCACTGGGGGAAAGGATGGAATGGGATTAGAATTCTTATTCTGCTTTTGTAGGCTATTGATCCCAGGCAAGGTACCTAACCTCTTTCAGCTGTACCTTCCCTATCTCTGTAAGAGTGACAAGAGGATTCAGTGGGATAATGTAGGTAAAACACTTATAACAACATCTGGCGGCAGTGGTGGTTGTTTAGTCACTCAGGCGTGTCCAACTCTGTGCAACCCCATGGATTGTAGCCCACCAGGCTCCTCTGTCCATGGGATTTCCCAGGAAAGAATACTGGAGGGGGTTGCCATTTCCTTCTTCAGGAGATCTTCCCGACCCAGGGGATCAAACTCATGTCTTCTCCACTGTAGTCCGATTCTTTACCGTCTGAACCACCAGGGAAGCCCTTGCGTAGTATTGCTATTTTAACAAAATTAAGTCCTCTAATCTATGAACATGAGATGTTTTTTCACTGATTTGGGTCTTTCCTTGAGCAAAGTTCTGTAGATTTTAGTGTACAAACCTTGCACCTTCTTGGGTAAATTATTGCATAGTGTTTTATTTCTCTGCTGCTGCTAAGTCGCTTCAGTCGTGTCCAACTCTGTGCGACCCCACAGACGGCAGCCCACCAGGCTCCCCCGTCCCTGGGATTCTCCAGGCAAGAACACTGGAGGGGGTTGCCATTTCCTTCTCCAATGCATGAAAGTGAAAAGTGAAAGTGAAGTCGCTCAGTTGTGTCCGACTCTTAGCGACCCCATGGACTGCAGCCTACCAGGTTCCTCCATCCATGGGATTTTTCCAGGTAAGAGTACTGGAGTGGGGTGCCATTGCCTTCTCCGTTATTTCTCTGATGCTCTCGTAAATGGAATTTTTATTTCTCTTTAAAATTTTTAACTCCTTGTTTTAATTTCCTGTTCAGATTGTTCATTGTTGATGAAATACAAATGATCTGTGTGCTGATTTTGCAAATCTGCTAAATTTGTTCATTAGCTCTGTTGTTTTTTTTTTAATGGATTTTGGGAGGTTTTCTACATATAGGATGTCACCTGTGAAGAAAGACAGTTTTACTTCTTCTCTTCCAATATGGATGCCTTCTTTTTCTTTCTTTCTTTTTTTGGCCTAGTTGCTCTGGCTAGAATTTCCAGTACAACACTGAATTGTTGCTGTTGTTCGGTCCCTAAGTCATGTCTGACTCTTTGTAACACAATGGACTGCAGCACACCAGGCTTCCCTGTGCTTCACTACTTCCCAGAGTTTGCTCAGAATCATGTCCACTGAGTCAGTGAGCCTATCTAACCATCTTATCCTCTGCCAACTTCTCCTTTTGCCTTCAATCTTTCCCAGCATCAGGGTCTTTTCCAATGAGTTGGTTCTTCACATCAGGCAGCCAAAGTATTGGAGCTTCAGCTTTGGCATCAGTCCTTCCAGTGAATATTTAGGATTGATTTCCTTTAGGATTGACTGGTTTGCTCTCCTTGCTGTCCAAGGGACTCTCAATAGTCTTCTCCAACACCAGAATTAGAAAGCATCAATTCTTTGGCACTCAGCCTTCTTCATAGCCCAACTCTCACATCTGTACATGACTACTGGAAAAACCATACCTTTGACTCTACCGATACCTGTCAGCAAAGTGATGTCTCTGTCTAGGTTTGTCATAGCTTTCCTTCCCAGGAGCGAGCGTCTTTTAATTTCATGGCTGCAGTCACCATCTGCAGTGAATACTGGTGGTGAAAGCAAGCACCCTTATTTTGTTCCTGAACTTAAGGGGGAAAGTTTTCAGTCTCTTACCACTGAGTTTGATGTGAGCTCTGGGTTCCTCACAAGTACACTTCACCATGCTGAAGTGATTAAGGTAATTTAAATCTACAGTCTCATCAATCAGACTTTAGCTCTGGTGCCTCCATTAAATGCAGATTAATAGAAATTGTTTTAAAAATCTGCACTGAATGATGTTTATACAGCAAGACTTGGTGATGAGAAGAAACATACCTTCCACTTGGTAAAGAGATCAGCAAGGAAACCATTCACAGCTTTCTCAAAATACAGATCCCCTGAAAAGAAACAATAGGAAGAAGGTGAGAATTTTCTTAGTTTCTTGCTTACAATTTTTTCCCTCAGTAAAGTAAAAGGAATAGGACTAGTCAAAGAGAAGGTGGGTACTGCTCTATCCTAAAAGTGGTTTCGACCTAGACTTTCTATTGAGCCAAATTTAATATTTACCTTACTCAGTAAGAGGTCATGGGTTCAAGGTAAAACACAAGATTGAAAAAGTTTTGATGCTTGAAAAAGAGTGTCTCTTCAAAATAAGAGAACCATCTAAAGTATTCTCATAGTGATGCTTCATGTTTGTTCGAAGGTGATCTGGTAGACCCTGGGCAGTCACTAAATTATCACTTGCAGTTTCTGCTGTTCTTGAGCAAACCCTTGATGACCTACATGAAAAATTAATTTGTAGTTTTGTTAAACACAAGTTAGAACTGCTTGAAACATGAGGCTGGTGTGTTGGGCACAGCATCCACACCTCATGGCAGCTTTATCATACTCGACTTACAGTATGGTAATTCTAATAAAATGAGACAAACTTGGTGATTTCTGTGAGTGATAGAACATGAAATGAAAGTTATCAAAGAAGCTGCTGGTTCCTGGCCATAAAGTCACTACCTCTATGACTTTTGATTCTGTACTTATAGAATAATTGAAGATCTGAGAAGACAGATTTTTCATTAATGCTTTACTACATTTCATGCAATTCACTGCATATATAAAATGTACATTTATTTTTAACATTTGAGGATTTCTAAAGGTTCAGGACATATCTTCAGAGAATGTTCAGAGATTACTGTAAATGATACCAACTTGAAGGAAACCAGAAACCTCCCCATTAGCATTACAACCCACACTTAGGAACAGTACCATAAATATCAAAATCCCACATTTCACAGCTCATCTGAATAAATATGTAAACCATAGCCGACGTAGAACGGAACACCACCTGCAATAAACAAAAACATAATTGCATCAAGAAGCAATGATGGACAGAATTTCAGTTCCGCAAAATGAAAAAGTTCTGGAGATTTGTTTCAGAATGATGTGAGTATACTCAACACTACTGAACTGTACATTTAAAGATGGTTAAGGGAATTCCCTGGCGATCCGGTGATTATGACTCCACCCTTCCACTGCAAGGAGCATGGTTTCGATCCCTGATGGGGAAACTATAGACTATATGCCTTGCAGTGTAGCCAAGACAAAAAAAGAAAAAGAAAAAAAGGAGTGAATTGCTGTAAAACTGGGGGAAAGATCACTGCAAAATACCAATGCATGCCCACTAGAGTGGCAAAAACTTTCAAACTTTAAAACTGGGTACTGGAGAAAGTAAAAAACAGGAGGTTTTATATATGGGTACTAGGAGTATAAATTGTTCTGAAGAATTTGAAAGATAATTTGACATTATCTTACAGAGCAGAACCTATGACATAACAAATACACTCCTAATCAGGGATTTAAGATATAGTGAGTACAAACAAGACAGCTAAAAGAAAGAGTGAGAGGGAGGAAGGGGGAGAATACATTTTCATTCCTCTTTAATAAAACTCGAAAGTAAGCAAAACGAGTAATACACTGCTTAGGGTAAAACATATATGTATCGTCACTATATAAATAAGCAAATTACAAAAATAATTTTTTGTAAGACAGAGTGGTTATCTCTCAAAATTGCCCCAAGTTCTCAACTATCTTGCCTGCCCACGGGACATCTGGTGGTGGCTGGTGACATTTCTGGAGGTTATGACTTGCAGGGGGTGGGGACAGGGGTGGGAGCTACTGGCATTTACTGAGTAGAAGCCAGGGACCCTGACCAGCCCACAGTGCCCAGTACAGCCCCCCCCACAACACTACTGCCCTTTTGGGCCAGGTGATTCTCTTTCTGGAGGGCTCTGCTTCATGCCGTAACAGGTTGAGCAAAATCCTCCACACAACCCTAGTTGTGACAAACAAAGATGCCTTCAGACTTTGCGAAAAGACCCCTGGGGAGACATAGTCACCCTAGGGTTGAGAACCACTGCTCTCAAGGGAGGCTGTGGGTGGGAACACGGAAGAGCAGATAGGTGCTTTCGCCAGGGTGGGGAAAGCACCCTGTGCTCTAGAGCCCTGGGGCCACAGCTGCTGGGCCCTAATTCCCACCAGTGTGGGGAACGCTCAGGGATGCTCAGTTTGGAATTTCCCAACTGTCCCAGAGTCACAGGAGGAGCTTCCTTGGCAAAGGTCTTTCTCCGGGTTTACCAACACAATCTTCTACTGAGCTTAACTTTTGCTGTGTATTAATGGGCACAGGAGTCTGTGCCCTAAACACTCCTTTCTTACGTCTGATATTAAACAAAAAGAAAACAAAGATCACCCCCAAACCAGAGATCCAACTGTAAAACCCCAGAATTTCAGGAGTCCCTGCTTTATTACAGTATTATTCCAGTTGGGCAGATGGTAGCTTGGTCACGAGCTTGATCATGAGATCAGGTTTTTACTAGTTTCTGTTTTGTTTTTGATTTCACGACTTACAGACATCACAACATGGGGAAACAAATCCAAAAAAGCATCGTATCAACCTCACCCTGGTATCTTCGCTGATATAACCACACATGACCTTCTCATTCTTGACCCACAGCTCACCAGCCTGTGCCCTGAAAGGAGACGCACATGCATTATTACGAGTCCTACATAAACCAAGAAATGGACGTGCCTTCAGGGTAGCTCCCTCTGCTCTGTCATTGTGACCCAAATGACCTGGTCACTTACAGATTTCCAGGGTGCCACAAACACAACACAAAGAATTTTCAGCGGACATTGAATTTGTACAATAGGAGCTCTTGATTTGGGGGTCCACAGACAACCTCTGAATCTGAGGAAGGGCTTTGGGGAACCCACAAACCCTCTAAATGATGTAATCTTTCCTAAGCACAGAACTGTACACTTTGTCAAATCTCAAAAGGGTCCATTTCACAAAAACAGTTAAAAAGCACTGATGAACAAATCTGCTAATCTGAGCTTTGAGATAATGAGTTTCAACAAAAACAAGATCCACTGCAATATCACAAGTAGACAGAAAGTATAAAGGCACGGGGTCCCTACTCAATGGAGGCCATCTTTTCTTGGACAAGCCATGCAGCATGGGGATCCTAGTTCCCCAACCAAGGATCAAACTCATGCCCCCTGCATGGGGAGCACAGTCTTAACTACGGGACTACCAGGGAAGTCCCAGTGGAAGCCACTTCACTGAAAGATTTTCATGTCAGTATTAATATGATATGATATCTTCTGCCCCTGCATCTTTTTTTAAATTCTTTTTTGTTTATTTTTCAGTCACTGTTGTGAGATTAAGCTATTGCTTTTTTTCTTTTTTGGCTGTGCGGGGTCTTTGTTGCTGCATGGGCTTCTCTCTGGTTGCATCGAGCAGGAGGTACTCTCTGGTTGTGGTGTGTGGGCTTCTAAGTGCAGCGGCTTCTCTTGATGCCGAGCACAGGCTCCATGATGAGCGGGCTCCAGCAGCTGCGGCTTCTGGGCTCCAGAGCACAGGCTCGGCAGTCATGTTGCACGGGCTTAGCGGCTTGGCGGCATGTGGGCTTTTCCAGGACCAGGGATTACACCTGTGTCTCTTGCATTGGTAGGCAGACTCTTTACCACTGAGCCACCAGGGAAGCCCGCCTCTTGTTTCTTTGTCCTGTTTTTCAAATTGGCTACAATAAACAAGCACCGTACGTAAAAATACTTAGCACACGCCTGATACACAGCATGTGCTGAACAAGTGGTGCTCAACAGTGTTAATTCCGCGACCAGGACATGTGTATTGAGACTGGCCACCATACAATCAGAGCTCAAGTCAGAGAGAAGCTTCCAGAAGATCCTCTGCAGTTGGGTAGATTGAGCAGGAAAACACCCAAACTGGACATCCCAATGGGCTTTAAATGTGCCTAGCAAACATATCTATTTGCTCCTGGACCTACTGTGTATTTCATTATATGGATATCCACACGCCTTAAAGGCTGTATGTAAAACAGTTACTACACTGGATTCTGCTCCTGTTTACAAGCTGATGAATCAAGAGTGACACAGTAGTTACCTGATGCCAGCAAATTCCACCTTCTGAGTGATATAGGCACATGTGCTGACCTAAATAGAGAGAGAGAGAGAGATTCAACAACACATCGAGGCCATANAATCAAGAGTGACACAGTAGTTACCTGATGCCAGCAAATTCCACCTTCTGAGTGATATAGGCACATGTGCTGACCTAAATAGAGAGAGAGAGAGATTCAACAACACATCGAGGCCATAAAAGGTCACAAAGAAAGTCTCCTGGCTTTCTAATCTCTTCTAACAACCTGATATTCAATTAACATGGGAGCAATAGATTTATCCCACAGGGAAACCTGCTGGGGTGGGTCTAATAGTAGGTTCTTAAGGGCTTGGCAGGTACAGACAATAACAGTAAAGACTGGGTGGATAGTAAGGGGCCAGCTTCACTAGTATACTTGTCATAGATGCTCACATATGCACCTGTATTTACACATAGAACATCTACTTCTCATTTTAGAAAATGGAACCTTCTCCCACCAAATAAAAAATAAGCAAAGACATCGCTGTCTAAAAATATACAGTGTGGACATTTTACTTAGGATTTGCTGTTCCACAACTGCCAAAGAGTCCAAAAGGAGAAGCTTCTGCACCAGCTTGCAATTCTGATGAACTGATCATGTTCAGTGGAAAATGTCAATTAAAAATGAATAAACAAGGAAAAATGGGAGGAGGGGAAAGTGAAAAGCAGCCTAACCTGGAAGCAACAAGATCTGGGTTCCAGCCTAGTGTCAACTGTTTGCTGGCTTTCTTGTCATGGGCACTCCCTCAACCCCTCTATCTCAGTTTTCATATATATAAATTCGGGGTAATAAACGCCTATCCACAGGATGAGACATGAGGAGCAAATGAAATCAGGTGAAAACTTGCGAATCAAAGTCCTATTTAAATGTAAAATCATATTATAATTTCCCATTCAGACCAAAAAATGCAGAGTAAAACTCAGTGACAGTAAACAAGCAAAACAAAGCATTAAAAAAATATGAAAGGAGAATGGAAGGAGACAGACAACATGTCTACAATAACTGTCTGTGATGCTGGAATCAGAAATGATTTTATACTCTTCTGACTAGATATAAATCTCCCCAGTGACATGGATTATTAACATAATAGAAAAGTAATAGACTTTAAAACAAAAAAAAAAAAATCACATCTTACCAAACTTTTCTTTAGTCGCCACATATCCCCACGGCCAATATACTGATCCTTAAAGGTTAATTCCACAAGGTCAAGGGTCACATCCTAAAAAGGATAATTAGATGTATGTCTCTGCATTACTCTGCCAGGCCTTACAGTTGTAAGATAGCGCTCACTCACCACAACGAACCTTTTTGACAAAAAGACAACCACTGAAGACCATCCAGTAGCGAAAGTGAAAGTGCAAGTCACTCAGCCGTGTCCGACTCTTTGTGACCCCATAGACTATACAGTTCATGGAATTCTCTAGGCCAGAATTCTGGAGTGGGTAGCCTTCCCTTCTCCACGCATTTTCCCAGCCCAGGGATCGAACCCAGGTCTCCCACACTGCAAGCAGATTCTTTACCAGCTGAGCCACAAGGGAAGCCCATTCAGTAGCAGAACCCCGACAAACAGAATTTTATCCTGCCTGAGAAGGCTTTTGAGGACAGGGAAGTGTCCAACAGATATGACAGCCACTGTACAATGGTCAAGTGCAAAACATACCAGAGTAGAGTGTCGGTGTTTTAGTCTTGATTTTGGTACACAAACATGACACTGAGCTGTGGGCTTTATTTCCCTAGATGATATCAATCATGTCTTTTGGACAACGATTTTTACCTCTTGATGCTTAATTTTATAGCATCATTGCTCAAAGTAAAATGAGAACACAGAAAGAAATTTTAGTATTTTTATAGAAAATTTTCTATTTAGCTTCACAAACATACATATATGTACAGAACCTTTATAGGACAAGCTTTTTAAAAAGGAGGACTTTAAATACAATGTACATTCTGTCCATAATTTAAATGACCTATGCATGACCACATATTTAACAGTCTAACACTATGCTTGGTGTGTTAGTTGCTCCATCATGTTTAACTCTTTGCAACGCCATGGACAGTGGCCCACCAGGCTCTTCTGTCTCTGGAATTCTCCAGGCAAGAATACCGGAGTGGGTAGCCATTCCCTTCTCCAGTGGATCTTCCCAAAGCAGAGACTGAACCCAGGTCTCCTGCTTTACAGGCGAGTTCTTTACTGTCTGGGCCACCAGGGAAGCCCTAAGTAACTCATTACTTCCTTAGAGACCTAGTGTTGAGGAAGGGCATTAATCATTCCCCATAAGATATTCAAATCCAGAATAAAGACACACCTTAGGGTCTACAACATTCACATACACATCTTGATAAGGTCTTAGCCGGAACACCTGAGTCACCGTCTGGTCCACACTGATAGTTTCTGAAACAGAGAAGAAATCTGGATCAGATAATACATTCTGAAAAATCAGGTAAATACATTCTAATCTATAAAAGGCTTTCGAGGTGGCTCAGTGGTAAAGAATCTGCCTGCCACTGCAGGAGAAGCAGGAGATGCGGGTTCAATCCCTGGGTCGGGAAGATCCCCTGGAGAAGGAAATGGCAACCCGCTCCAGTACTCTTCCCTAGAAAATTCATGGGCAAAGGAGACTGGCAGGCTGCAGTCCACGGGGCCACAAAGAACGAGAAACGACCGAGGGCATGCATGTGCGTGCGTGCATGGGCACACACACACACACAATCTATAAATACCCAGACATCCAACAAACACAACTGATCCTTTGTTAAGGGCAAGACATGCTCTCCACCTTCAGGAACTTAAAACTTGAGAGTTCTCTGCTTTTCAGGTGAAGTAAGACCTGAACCCAAGCAATTAAAAAATGAGAGAGAGACAGACTGAAATTTCATATATATGTGTGTGTGTATATATATATATATATAGAGAGAGAGAGAGAGAGAGAGAGAGAGAGAGAAAAGAACTTAAGAAAAGAATTTAAGAAGCAACATAACAAAGCTCAAAGGGTTGTGAAAACTTAGAAGAGGAAAGAGATCATTTCTCTTTTGGCAGGGCTGGTAGTCAAAGAAGAAACAAACTTTCCAATGAGCCCTGAAGTCTGGTTAAGTAAAAAACTGAACAGGCAGCAGGAGATGAGGTGAGAGTAAAAAGGACACTCAAATTTGAAAGCATGTTTTCCCATCAAGTTAAAACATAAAAAAGTGGTTGACATCAAAATCCTTTAAGAGAAGATTTAAAAAAAAATTTTTTTTCTTTTCAGTGCCATTTAAGGAATTACTTTTATTTGCTATCAATTAACATTTTAGTTCCTAGATCAGCATGGTACAGTCATTAGAAGAAAGGATTTGGATCCAGAATGAGTAAGTATTGATAGAATCACTGCTCTGGCTCCTTCACTTGCTAACACCAGGCAAACCTGCTCATCCCACTGAGACAAAGGTTCCATCCTAACTCAAGAAATGGTGGGAAGATCAAGAAAGATAGATGACAAACAGCTCCAGTACAGAGCCTTGCATTAGTGCTGGGTAATCAGCAGAGTATGTTCCTCCCCTGCTCCAACCCAATGTAGACACTTAACAAATATGTTGTGAAAAAATATAATATTGAGGAAAGCATGCTTTGCCAACAATTGTTTTGGAGTTTAAGTGTAGGGCTTCACCTTATTCCTTCTGATTCTAAACATAGTTTTTGTTTTCTTATTAATATTTATTTATTTGGCTGTGCAGGGTTGTGGGAACTCTTAGTTCCCTGACCAGGGATCGAACCCAGGCCCCCTGCATTGGGAGCACAGAGTCTTAGCCAATGAGCCACCAGGGAAGTCCCTAAACATAGTTAAAAATGTCCAGTGCCCTCAAGATGCTGACAAATGAGATTCCTTGGCAGTTTTGGTATCTGACAATATTTTTACTAGCAGGAACACACTTTGATAAGGAGAGATGTACTGTGCCCTCATTGTGAAGGGGGGTTTCTTAAAGTTTCTGAAACAATAAAGTGTAAAAAATCTTAGAGATGAAATTCTTACCTTTCTGCAAATCCTCCTTAAGTGACTTGACCTGCAAAAGCAGAGGGCTGGGGGGAAGAAAAAGCAACAAAGAGAAGAGATACTGTCAGTAGTAACTAATCAGCTTTCTTTACCACCCACAAAACACAAACAGATCACTCTGGACATATTCATAGCAGCAGGAGAACAGGAGAGCTCCTTCAGAAACAAACTCCGCACCTGTACAGTGAGTCCCCCACATCCAAACCTTCAACCTGTGAGCGTTCAAAGACGTGACCGCACGTGCCTGCCCCTGTGTGCCTCCCACTGGACTGGATGACGGTAGTTTTCAAGGTACTGTGCTGTAAGATTAAATGTGTCTTATTTTTTGTGTTTTTGATGTATATATTATTTGTGTGAAAAAGTATTAGGCTGGCCAAAAAGTTCATTTGGGTTTTTCCATGGAAGAACTCCAATACTGGCCAGGCCAATGTTCTGAACCTACTACAGCACAGTACTATACAGCCGATTATGTCAGTTGGGAACCTAGGCCAACTTTGCTGGACTTACGGACAAGTTGGACTTACGGACAAACGCACTCTCAGAACAGAGCTCATCTGTATGTCAGAGACTTACTGTATTCAAGGAAACGAATAAATGCTACAGAATTGTTCAGAGTTCTCCTCTCAGCTTCGTAAACAGAAAGAATGGACTCCTTTTAAAAAGATGATTGGTCTGGCAAATCCCAGAGGGCAGGAACATTTTTATCCCAAGGCAAAGAGACATCTCGCCCTCCATCCCCTTAGACACACATCACCTGGCAACAGCGGGCTGCCCAGCTAGCCCCCTGCTCCTGCTTAGATGCTCACCTGTACTCATCGTTGGGGTGGGCAATCTCTACGATGTCTCCAAGCTTGATGTGTGGAAATACTTTGGGGTTCACGACTAGCTCATCGTCTGAAAGACAATTCAGGGATCTTAGGTAGCAAGCAACTCACTTGGGTTGTGGGTTGCTGTGTGTTCTCATGCTGGGTCCTTACAACCCCATCATTCAGTATGACAACCCCATCTCACAGAGGAAGTTCCATTTAAAATTGAGATTTAAGGCTTCCTTAGTGGCTCAGTGGTAAAGAATCCACCTGCCAATGCAGGAGTCATGGGTTTGATCCCAGGTCCGGGAAGACCCCATATGCCTGGGAGCAACTAAGCCCGTGTACCACAACCATTGCGCCCAGAGCCCACAAGTACTGAACCCAGATGCCACAACTACTGAAGCCTGCATCCCCCAGAGCCTGTGCTCTGCAACTAAAGAAGCCACTACAGTGAGAAGCCCATGCCCCACAACTAGAGACTAGCCCCTACTTGCTGCAACCATAGAAAAGCCTGCACAGCAACGAAGACCCAGCAAAGCCAAAAATAAATAAATTATTTTAAAAAATAAATAAATAAAATTATTTTTAAAAAATAACTTGCTTGATACTTTTATTTAAACCAACTCAAGCCCAACTTCCCAGACGAACTGAACCTGTTTTAAGTAAGAGCACTGCAGAATTCTAAGTCTGATGGGTTAGCTTCATTTTGTTTTTTTTTTCTAATGTATTTACATGATAGGAATATACANAAAAAAAGAAAAAATTTAAAAAAAGAAAAATAATAATAAATAAAATTATTTTTAAAAATAAATAAATAAAATTGAGATTTAGCTTGACTGAAGGATTTGTACAGGAAGCCAGAGCTGGTGAGCAGCTCAGTGGGATGGCGTTCGGGGACCTTTGTCTCCAGAGCTTTACCTGCCAACCCACTGCTCCCAGGGAGAAGGCAGCTCTTCCTCTCTGGGAATTAGGCCTCTGGGGCAATTCTTGACTTCCTCAAATGGTGTGCATCTGGCATCGCCAGGGGCCCACATACAGCACAATCCCTTCTATTTAATATTCAAAGATTTCTTCAAAATACTGTCTGAATGTGACCCTCACAATAAATCTCTAGATCTAATAGAAGCAAGGAAACAACTTAAGAGATAAAGCAACTTGCCAAAGGTAGACAGCTAGTAACAACAGTACACCAGGACTGGTTACTAGCCCAGAGTTCCAAAACCCAGTCTCTCACATCCCTCAAGCCAAATAAAACACCCTGGACTTGGAGGGCAATGCTTGATCAGGGAAAAAATTCACATATAGCAGAACTGCATAGACAACAGAAATAACTTGACAGAGGACAGGATGCAAGGATACAGTATATACAGCATATCTATAATGTATGAAAGTCTTCTTTTTTAGTCTGGAGCTGGGTACAGGAGACTCTTAAAATATAGAGAGAATGTGATTTTATATGTTTATCTATCCCTGCCCCACACTAGGGGTCGGGGGTAGGGGGAGGGAACTCTTTGAAATATAACAAACTCAAGATCATAAAGATATGGTATTTTTTTTGTTGCTGTTTTTTCTTTGTCTCTGTTTTAGCTTTTAGGGAAAGATGGTCTTTTTTGTTTTTCCTTTTCTTTTTTTTGGCCATGGCTTGTGGGTATTAGTTCCCCAACCAGGGATCAAACCCAGGCCTTCAGTAGTGAGAGCGCAGAGTCCTAACTGCTGGACTACTAGGGAATTCCCAACATATCCTTCTATCATGCCAAAATTATGACACATAAATATGTCCGGATTTCAGATATAATCAAAACCAACAAGAATTCAGCCTAGGAAAGCAAAGTGCTGAGTTAATCCACAGTTACTTTTTTTTTTTGGATACAGATTCCATTGACAGGTGTAAAGCAAATCCTCTATGAAGTCTTCCTCTAACTTTCACAGTCTAACAAGTATTCCTTCCTGTTTAATCTTATCATTTCTTTTTGCGTGTATGTCTCAACAAGCTGAAAGCTTCTTAGGGAGAACGAACCTTGTCATATTCAAAATCTTTATGCTTGGCATAGGTAGGTGGTTTAGTCACTAAATCATGTCTGACTCTTGCAACCCCATGGACTACAGCCCACCAGGTTCCCCTGTCCACGGGATTCTTCAGGCAAGAATACTGGAGTGGGGTGCCATTTCCTTCTCCATTGGTATAGGTATGTACCTAATAAATGTTTGTTGGATGTTATTTTTTCAATTTGATTTTTATTTTATTTATTTATTGACATACAATACTGCATTAGCTTCAGGTGTTCAGCATATGATTCAGTATTTCTGCAGAATATATTCCATTGTGAGCTATTACAAGATAAGAGGTGCATTCCCTCTGCTATGTAACATATCATTGTTGTTTATCTATTTGATACATAGTAGTCTGTATCCACTAATCCCATACCCCTAATTTGTCCCTCCCCCTTCCCCCCCACTTTGATTACAAGTTTGTTTTATATGTCTGAGAGTTTGTTCTGCATATACATTCGTTTTATATTATTTTTTAGATTCCACACGTAAGTGATATCATAGTATTTGTCTTTCTCTGTCTGACTTAATCACTAAGCGTAATATTCTCTAGGTCTATCCATGTTGCTGCAAATGACAACATTTCATTCTTTTCTATGGCTGAGTAATATTGTAGGATGTATGTTTTTCTTTATAGTCCTGCAGCAGACTGGGTACAGCAGGGATCCACCACCATCTTGCACACATGAAAAAGAAGACTTGCATACATTGTATTAATAGATACACTGTATATACTGTATCCTTCTATTCTTTCCTGTGTCAAAAGTTATTTCTGTTTGTTCAATTCTGCTCCACAAAGGTTTAGGCAGTTTCCACTGCATACAAATTACAATGTTAACAACAGACTGTGGTTTTAGCAGAAATTACCTTTTAAATATAGCAATGCCTGGTATATCCTTTTCCTGGTACTTACAATGGCTACATTTATTTAACAGCTAGAAGGAGCCTGGCTGAATACTTTACATACATCACTTAATTTGATCCCTTAAGATCTTATGATATAGAAACTATTATTCTACCTTTTTGGCAGCCCTTACCTTTGGGAGGCTCATACATATATAACACAGGAGCAGATATAAAAGTGAAAGTGAAGCCGCTCAGTCGTGTCCGACTCTTTGCGACCTCATGGACTGTAGACTACCAGGCTCCTCCATCCATGGAATTTTCCAGGCAAGAGTACTGGAGTGGGTTGCCATTTTCTTCTCTAGGGGATCTTCCCAACCCAGGGATTGAACCCAGGTCTCCAGCATTGCAGGCAGATGCTTTACCATCTGAGCCACCAGGGATTTTGAGCAAATATATAGTAAAATACAATTTTTAAAATACTGTGTTGTTAATTCCAATTCCTGAAGTAAATAAGATTATTAGGACAGAAAGGAAATTTATTCCTTTAGAAAAGAAAAAAGGTCATATAAATAGGTGCTTCCTTATTCTACAGATTCATAATCTCAACGTGCTAAGAAAAATGGAGAAATTACCCTAAAGAGCTGGAATTTGTAATTAAGGTAAACTAGAGGCTTGCTCAAGGTCACAGGGAAATTAGAGGCAGAGCTGATACCCAGATTCAGGTTTAATGGAGGGTAACATGCTGTGTCCTGCCCCAACTCATGGTGCTTCAGAGCCAGGCAAAGGTTCCTGCTTTGATCATACCTGTCTTATGCACACCTACTACCTCTCTTTCATTGAACATAAGTTTCTCTTATCTGCCAAACCAACGCAGACTGGAATTTTATAGAACATACACAGTAAATATGTAATAAAAAACACAAACAAATCAACAAGGACCTAGCACACAGAACTATATTCAACACCATGTAATAACCTGCAATGGAAAAAAATACTTGAAAAAAATATATATGAATTACTTTGCTATACATCTTAAATACAGCACTGTAAATCAACCACACATGAATTAAAAATAAAATAAAGCAAAAACAAACAAATGAAGAGTAGTAAGCTGGAAATATCCATAACATCCCTGAAAATGCAGAATGGAAATGCTTCTGGAAGGGGCCTGTGCTCTCTGGTCCTGCTGCCCTTTCAATACTTCAGTATCACACCTGCTGCTTCACTCAGTTAAACTACCTGCTTAGCCTCCATTGTCTCCTCAGTCAGCGTGTAAACTTCAAGGCACAGGATATATCAGAATCTCAGCCAACTTACACAAGCCCAAAGACCAATCAATACTGACCACTGCCCCCGAAGCCCTTCTTGTGGATGACGAGTTTGTAGACCTTTGTTGTTCTCATCTTGTACTGTTGTTTCCTTCAGCTGTTTCAAGTTTGGGGGAGAGAAGTCATCTTGCCTCCCTGCCAGTGAAATACAAACAAAAAAGGCTGGAATGTCATAGTTTTCTTTGCAACTGCTCTTTGATTTTAGGGCAGTGAAAATACTGCTCTTGCTCAGCTGAGAGGTGGCACCAATCCTTGGATGAAATCACTCCTCCAAATACCAAGAGGGATGGGAAACAAACAGAACCAACCAATCTGGGAACGCAAGGGAATTCAAGTCAGGGTCTACTCCAACCTCCAAGATACGCTATCACACCCTAACGGGAAAACTTGGAGTGAACGAGGCACCATTACCTTGCCTCTGTAGAAATCAATAACACTCAAACATTAAAGAGACCTTAAAAGAGGTTTGGTACATTCATTTTGTAGATGAGGAAAGTGAGGGCCAGCGCAAGAGACATGCCCGAGGTCTCTGAGACTGATAATTCCTACTGTTCACGTTCGGCCACCGATGTCTTGGGCAGGGAGAGTGTAAATAGAGGAAGGCTCGCTCCCCAAACCTCCACCTGCACAAACTCTCCGCGGCTCCTATCCGTACCAGCTCCCCTCATGTCAGAACTGATGTCACTGAGGCTCAGAGACGGACAGAGACTAGTCTAAGGTCACACAGCAGGTTGGGGGTGGGGCCAGGATTCGAACCGGGGCCCTGGCCCTCTCCTCCAGATCCCCAACTCCGGCCCCGGCGGACAGGTCCACTCACCCGCAGCTCCGGAGCCCCTTCCCGCTTGAGGCCGGGGTTCCGACGGCTGGACCCTGACCAGGTCCCCGCGCCTCCTTCGGACGTCCCTCCTACGCCCGCAGAGTCCGCGAGGATCCGGTGCCGGATCTCCAGGCGCCGGCCGGCCCGCCCCGGCCACAGAGCGCTCACCTGAGAACCCGCGCCGCTCCGGTGGCTCCGCCCCGGGGCACCGCCCCCTTCCCGCCCACCCGCGCCGGGCCGCTCTGGCCGGGCCTCCGCCTCGTCTCGGTGTCCGCGCCACTTCCCCATCCGGGGCTCGCGTCGGGGGCGGGGCCTCACGTGCGGCCTATTGGCCGGGATGCCGGACGGCGTTTCCCGCTTCCTAAGGGCCGTCGACCCGGGCAGGAAATCCTTTTCCTCCTAGACGTTCCGAAATAGATTCGAGCCCAAGAATTGACTTCCGACCTAGTGATTTTACCCACAGGACGAGCGTCCCGGGATCTATAAAGGATGTTACGGACCTTCGCGGGGTCTCCTAGGGCAACGGAGAGGCACAAAATAGAGTTTCTGGGGGAACTTTTGTAAAATGTAAAGGGCTGAGCATGTGCGACTTAGTGCGATGGCCCCTGCTGGGAAGTATCCGCTTTGGGGGGGCTTCTCAAATTCTTCCAAACCCCAAGTGGTGTTCTGTGCCTCTGTTCATTGGTAATAGCTACCATGGTTTTCACAGACATTCTTATGTAATCGTCACATCCCTTTATGGAGGCAGATACTATTTCATTTCACAGACAACTGGAACAGGCTGAGGACAGAGAAATCCTCGGGAGGAAGCAAGTACGGATCCTGACCCGATGCAGTCAAACTTGGCTCCAAGGCTGAGCGTTTAACTAGCATCCTCATGTCTCACTCAAGGGCCTAAGCCCCTATTCTGTTGGGACACCTTTCTCTTCTCAAGGGAAATAGCGCCGTGTGGGTAGTGCCTGAAGCTGGCTAAGGGCTCCAGGCAAGTTTCCAGCTCCATCTAATTGACCTATGAAAGTGAAAACTAGTCGCTTTGGGTTGCCATTCCCTATTCCAGGGGATCTTCCCAACCCAGGGATCGAATCCGGGTCTCCTGCATTGCAGGCGGATTCTTTGCTGATTTTGACTGAGCTACAAGGGAAGGCAATTTACCTATAGTTTTTGGAAATTTTCTGAATATTGAAAGGAAAAAAGCACCGCATATCACAAAGGAACTGGGGGGTAGGTGAAGGGTTCAGAAGTTAAATAATTTTTAACTAATTGTAATTTTTAATAGTAAAGAAAAGCATGTAAGCACACTGCAACAGTCGCAAAACTTTTCAAGGATAAAATGTTAAATGTTAGACATGTTTATGTTGCCATTTCAGGGTGGCACCCCCAGATCTCTCAGACTGTTTTGTTTGTTTGTTTGTTTTTTAGTAGCTAGTGAGAAGTCCTTCCATCCCAGACAGAATTAAGGGGACTGTATGTTCCTGGCCCTCGGGGGAATTTGATTCTTTCTCCTGAGCAATGTCCATAATTGGTGTCATATCTTGGCAATACAAATATTTCACTTTTTAATTTGGCAAAAATTCCTTAAATCAAAAAACGACAATAACAGCAACAAAACCTTGTCAAGGTTTGAGACTTTAAAAAAATGTCTAAAGCTGGGCAAAGCTAAGGAAGGCTGGAGCAGGTAACCGAAATACTGGGGAGTCAATAAACTTGGTTCTACAACCACCTGTGCGATTGCCTGTTTTTAGCTGTGTACCTTTGCACAAGATAATTCTCTTTGCTCAAATTTCTCCCTTGACAGATGGGAATTAAAAGTAAGTGTTATTCTTCCTTCACAAGGTGTTTGAGGGCCAAATGAGGTGAAGGACATGTTACATTAGGTCTTTGAAATTAAAAGAACTTAAAATGCCATGTGTATGTCACCAAAAGCATGGAATTTACCAGGAAATTGGCTCTCATTGACTTTTAGGGGGTTGAATGATCATGCTTCTTTGAGGTCTCTTTGTGCTTACTACATACAAAGCTAGGAGCAAGACTAGGACTAGAGTGAGGTGGGTGAGGCTAGTGAGTTGTTGTTCAGTCATAAATCCTGACTCTTTTTGACCCCATGGATTGCAGCACACCAGCCTTCCCTGTCCTTCACTATCTCCCAGAGTTTACCCAAATTCATGTCCATTGAATCGGTGATGCTATCTAACCACTTGCCTTATTTAGGGCACAAAATGCTAAGGGGGTGCCAAAAAACTCAGCGAGATAAATGATAATGTGATTGTTTTTAAAGAAAGCAATACAAAAAAAATCCATGTTGAACAAAATATCACATTTTGAAAATAAAGATGAGAACAATAATGGTGCAGTGCCTGTCATATTAGAACCTGAGGCAGAAGACAAACCAATAACACTGGGTTTCTCAGATCCTAGTCTGTAGGCATGCAGTGGCCTGAGGAAGAAACTGAGGTCTTGGATACTCCTGTAAAAATGTGTAGAAATGTCTTGAAGTGAGTTTCTAGTTAATTAATCCCAACAACATCTGTAGTAGCCTATATGTGAAGTGCCTGCATACATGGACGATGGATAGACTCATTGGATGTAAACAATAGTTGGCATTTGGGTTTTTGTATCTCCAGCCCTAACTAAAACTGGGAAAAGCACTTTCTCAGATAAAACAGTCCGTATGTTGGCTGGTTCAAAGATACCTTGATCGGAGAAGAGAAAATTAAAATCTCTCACAAAACTGTAAAACTTTAGCTCTCTAATCAGCCAAGAAATAACAGACTTCTGTTTAAACACTAGACTGTAATTTGGAGCAAGTTGATTGCATTCTCTAGACCTCCATTCCCTCTTGAAAGAACATTCTTTTCCTTCCTTCAAATATCTGCTTAGTGTTTGCTTGTGCGGGCACTGCTCTAGGCGGTGAACAAAGAATGATTAACAAAACTGACGAGGGTGGGAAAGAGAGATGATAAAAGGAGTCGATAAATAGATGAAATGGCAATTTCAGCTAGTGTTAAAGCTATGAAGAAATGAAAACAAAATGCCAGGAAGGAAATGGAGCAGGGGACTGACATGATCTAAAATACTGATTCCAGGTATAAAAAGATATCTTGGGCTGCCAGAGTAGAAGCCGAGAGGTCCCAAGAGTTGCAAACATTGGGGCCAGAAAAGAGGACTGGACCAGGGTGGTAGCAGTGGAATCAGACACTGGGCCTGAGGCTCAGCAACAGTCAAAAGCTGTGTTCCTCTTTAAGAGTCCTGGAGGCGGGGGCGGGGCAGAGGCCGCCGGAGCTGGCTGGGGGAGGGAGTCTCTACGGGGAAGAGCCGCCTCAAGGGTGCGCGCGCGCAATGCGGGGGCGGGACTTGGGCCAGTCCGCATGGCTGGCCCGGGCCCCGGATGAGGAAGTGCAGGGCGACCATAGAGACGAAGAGGCGGCGGCGGCCGGAGCGCCCCCGGGCTCTCTCGGCTCCGCAGGCTCAGGTAGATTCGGCGGCGACGGGGTTGCTGCTGCAGAGGCCGGGCTGGCGGGGCGAGCGCGGGCCGCGGAGCAGGCCTCAGGGTAAGAGGCCGGGGGCGGGAAGGCTTGGGGCGTAGCCGCCCCGCCCCACTCAAGCCCTAGCAGACCCTCAGCCGGTCGGTGCAGGCTGAGGGGGAGCCCGGGTCCCCCGCCCTCTTGGGGCGCCGACGGGAACGCAGGCTGCGCTGCGGGCGCCGAGAGACCAGGGGAGAGGGAGGAGCCCAGGCCCCGCGTCGCGAGGGCAAAACGGCTTCTCCAAGTCATGGCTCCGGCGGGGGAAAGCGACTCCTCGTCGACCTTAGTACGGCAGGGGACCCCTCAACTTCTCTCCTCAGGAAGGCGACGCCCGTTGTCGTGGGCGAAAGCGCGTCTCCGGCTGCATCGCGCTTGTCAGTGGAGGGAGACCCGCTCCCGGGGTGCGAGGGGAGCACCCTGAAAACTTATTTTCAGGAGGGATAAGACCTCTCTTGATTTGGTCGGCGCCCCTCAGGTGGAGAGAAAGACTCAAGTTGCCTGAAAGTGAGAGAGATCTTCCTTTCCTGTCAAAGAGTTATCTTCCCTCTTATTTTTCGCCTTTATCCCGGTATATGGGGAAGAAGACCTAGAATTTACTTGGTGGTGTTAGTCAGCCTTTCTCCCCTCCCCCAGCAGTGTCCACCGAGGGAGCCTTGCTTCTCTGCCCCGGAGTCTCCTGGTGTGCCTTGAGCTCTTTACCTTTGCACAATGAAGAGCGTGGTGTTTGGAGTGTGAGGGATGCAAGCTTGTGTGTCCCACTTTCCATCTTTATGACCTTGACTCACTGCTTCACCTTTTTGTCAGTTAGCCCATCTCTTAATTTCGGTCCCCTCTTCATAGAATTGTCCCCAAGACTACAGGAAATTTCGTGTAACTGCTTGGTACACAGTAACCTTTTGGTAAACTGTTGCTATTAGTTACTTAATTTGTAACTTCCTCACTAGAGAGGAGGCTTTTTAACCCCCCAGGGGCAGAGAAAGAGGCGCTTTTGCTCTTTGAGATCCTAAATTAACAACGCTGTTAGAGTAATCTGGGGAAAAGACTGTTTGGGCAAACAGGTCTGGAAGATCTGATAGGAGAAGCAGCCTTCCCTTTGTCCACGGAAGCTATCATTCCTTCCCGACTGGTTAGAGCTTCCCTCTTCCACTCCTCCTACTTGCTCTGCTGATGAAAAAGCTTCCCTCTATCTGATCTGCACACCCCTCACCCCCAGAAAGGGGATTCCAACTTCTTTCTCTTGCTCTCCCAAGAAAAATATGACTCTAGACCTTTGAGAGGAGTGCCCTTTCCTGCTGTATCTTTGGAGTGGCACAAATGGTTTCTCTTCTCCCCTCCCTCTGAAAAAAGGATGAAAATCTCTAATGCAGAGTCTCTGTCCGTAGAAATCAGGAGCGTTTTCAGTGTTTCACTCCCCCGCCCCACCCCCGTGGAGATAGGGACCCTTTTTCTGAGTGCTGATGACGGGAGGAGCAGGGGAGCTGTGCCTGTTGCTCTTGAGATTTCCTGTGCACTCTTCCCGTGTGGAAGAGCGAGGCCGTGTTCACTGTGTGGACTTCCCTGCTCCACTTTGAGCTAGTCTGGAGAGCTTGT